CCTCAAGTTGGAGCATACAGATCATATGCATCAAGCTTGTCACATATGAAATGAATTTGAGGACCACATAGCAACTTTGTGAGAATATCAGTCAACTGATCACTAGAGTTGACAAATTCAATGATGATTTCCTTAGAAAGAACTTTCTCCCTGATAAAGTGACCAACAATCTCTATATGCTTGGTCCTCTCATGGGAAACTGGATTTGGTGCAATGTGCAAAGTAGCTTGATTATCACATTATAATTTCATATGGTCAACGTTTCCAAACTTCAACTCACTAAGTAACTGTTTTAACCATATAAGTTCATATTTGAGCATTGCCATGGCTATGTACTCAACTTTTCAGTAGATTGAGCCACCATATTATGCTTTTTGCTTTTCTATGAGATAAGATTACCTTCAACAAAAACACAATATCCTGAAGTAGATCTCCTATCAGTAGGTGAACCAGCCTAGTTAGCATCAGAGTATCCCACTACTTGAGTATTACCCTTGTCTTCTACATCAATCCTTGGCCCAGAGCACTTTTAATATATCATAGGATTTGTACCACAATATTCCAATGATCAACACATGAAGATCGCATGAATTGTTAGTGTAAGGTAGTCGAGCTTACCAACCAATCTCCAATACCTGCCAGCCGGGATATGAATATGACTCTCTTTGGTTTGGTAATAGTTTACTTTTTGGATACATAGGAGTGTCAATAGGTTTGCAGTCTGTTATACGAGTATCTTCTAATATGTCCAAAGCATATTTTCTCTATACCAAAGAAGTATTTGAGCTTTCCCAAGTCTTTGGTCTAAAAGTGTCTAAACAGATGCTTCTTTAACTAAAATATTCCATCACGACCACTACCTGTAATAACTATATCATCAACATAAACTATCAAATAAATGCATCGACAAGATGGATTATGTCTAAAGAAGATTGAATGATCCGCTTCACTCCGCGTCAGCCCAAACTCCTACACCATCATATTGAACTTATCAAACCAGGCTTTTAAGACATGTGTTACTTTTTGGAACAAGGCTCACAATTTATTTGCAAATGACATTCAGCGCTTGTATGATTCATCCCAGAAATTGTCTTCTTTTCGACAACCAGATCATGACATGACTAGTTTTATTGCTCAGGCACAAGCTGCAATAGAGGAGTTGAAGATATTTTTACAGGAAAACAGTCATCAAGGATTGTTAAACAAATCGGATAACTTGTATGTAGTGTTGGTTCTTTGTGCAATGCACTTTGACTTTGCTCATGTGTGAGATCAATTTCTGACCAGTCAAGAGGTACCCACCATGGATGCAATCTTTACTCGTCTCTTAAGGGTTCCTACTCATACGGACTCTCGTTCCAACATAATTGACACATCAATCCTAGTAAGAAATTCAGGATCTAGTGCTGGACATGGAGTATGTGGCTGTAGAGGAGCTCGTGGAACTCGAGACGATTATGGAGGATGTGGTAGAAATCTTTATTGTACATATTGTAAAAGACAAGGCCACACTCGGGAGACTTGTTACTTTATTCATGGTTTTCCTCATAAAACTATTAACGTTAGACAGTTTTTCCCAACACAAGAAGAATAAAAATCTGATGCTCCATCTGGTAAACCATATATTACCCTTCCAGAGTTAGAGTTCCAATAGATCAATTAAGATATTAGGTTCTACAGACTGGTATAACAAAGCACATAACTGATAATTAAACATCTCCCATTGACTTCTATATGTGGTGGAAATATTAGAAGCTGACTTTTCAAGATGGTCAAATAGAACTTGACTAAGAAACCACAGTTCAACGGAGGATGACCAAGCCCGATAATTCTTACCATTCAACTTTTAAGATGTGATTGTGGGAGAACCCGAGAAGGCATACAAAATAAGAACATTACCAGTCAAGTTAGTGACTCCATATGACTAAAGAGTCATGCATGGAATTAGAAGAACCACTTGTACTTAAGGTCGTAACTGGAAACCTAGGGTATTTTATGGCTGGAAAATAAAATAGAATCTTGGGTCTCGAACAACGATTCGATTGGTGATAAAGAAAAAGAATTCTTGGTTCAGTTCTCTACCTTAACGACAGAAAAAAGGATTGATCAAATTCTATTGAGTCTGACTCATATTGATCATTTATCAAAGAATAATTCTGGTTAGCAAATGATTGAACAACCGAGAGAAATTTACTTATGATACTTAGTTGACATTCATAAAAAGTATCTAATGAATTATGAGCTGAATACATCCTGTTTAGCATAAAGACGTATATTTCTTGCTCATTATCAGACAATCACTTATTCACAAACCCCATGTGGGGTTAATCGTTTTCATTTCCTATCTCATGGGAAACCCTTTTCGCTCCATTTAGCCCTACCCCTAGAAGCTGACTTTTCAAGATGGTCAAATAGAAGTTGACTGAGAAACCACAGTTCAACGGAGGATGACCAAGCCAGATAATTCTTACCATTCAACTTTTAAGAAGTGATTGAGGGAGAACCATATAAAGGCATACAAAATAAGAACATTACCAGTCAAGTTGGTGACTCCATATGACTAAAGAGTCATGCATGGAATTAGAAGAATCACTTGTACTTAAGGTCGTAACTGGAAACCTAGGGTATTTTATGGCTGAAATAGAACTTAGCTCTTGATACCATGTTGAAAGAGAATATCTAAATGACTTGAAGAAAATGCCTCAGCCCCATTCATTATATATAGGATTTGCAATCTCTAATAAAATAAAATTTAACCAGATCTAACTAAATAATTTTAGATACACAATCCCTAAAACTATGAGATCTATTTCCTAAAATAGAAGATATTATTCAATAAGTCAGAATCGAACCTAAGTTCTCTCTCCCCATCTACTTAGCATGTGTTGCCAACTGAGCTACACCCACTGGGTAAAATTAAAAAAATTATTGTTTATTTTATAATTGATGAAAACTCAATACTAATTATTTAGTGCTAAAATATTTAACGTGATCAAACATGTCTTAATCTCACAGCAAAAATACTTGATGTGGTTGGACTAATTTAGCTAGCTCATTGGTGGTGGTCCCCTGTTATGGGCTTCACTTAGCCCGCCTGATAGTGATATCAAAGTCGGGTTAGCCTAGTGATTGGCTATAAGTGGGTTGTGCCCCCGTTGAGGGGGAGCATGTCAATGTGGGTTTCATACTTAAAGGAATTTCATTGGATATTCAAAGGTGATGAAGCCCCACACTGGTTAGTAATAAACTAAGTAAAGTCTATATAAGTGAAAGAATTCATTAACTCAATACCTTAATATTTTGGATGAGACATTGTGGTGGACCCAATTATTACGGTTGGTGTAATTAGCCTATTGATGGTGGTCCCCTACCATACCTCTTTGAGGTGAGTAGGCTCCCACGGCTATCTCCACAAGTTTCGATTTTTTGAATCGGCTACGGGACTAATCCTGAGTGCGAGACGAGTCCTTCCAAATGTGGTATTGGTGGGGATCGAATTTAGGTTCTTCCACCACCTACTCAACTCTCATGCATCAAGTGGGTTACCATAATCAAGAAAATAGTGTTTATTAAACAGTTCAAATAAATTCCTAGCTAATTAATTAAAGAATAAAAGCAAGGATCTTTAATTCATTTATACAATGAACTATTGCACATGTGATGACCATACATGCCGGTGGGATGGTTGTGGAGTTAATGAAATTTTAATAAAACCACTGCCAAATTAATATTAAGTGAAATAAACTAATGCGCCAAATAGTTAGTTGTCTATAATAAAAGTTTTGCTTAAAAGTAGTAGGTTAATTATTGAGAAAAAGAAACTTTGTAAAATACAGATATAACCCTACAGTATTCAAAACGGTTAGAACATAGTACTAATAGAATATTTTCCAAATTCCGTAGCTATATCAGCTATCATTTATGCGTCTACGTGACCAACATCGCTATATATAACTTAATTTTATTAGTTTTGTTCTTACTTCGTAGAGTAACTGTCAATATTTTAAATGAGTGCAGACAAAAGGAGAACTGAAAATTCTATGCTTGAAAATGGAAACTATGATTGGAAGAGTAAATTGCAGCACTAAGTGGATTTCTACAGATAAAGGATAACATGCTTTATTTCTAATAAAAAAACAAAAAAACATTGTTCTTTCCACGTAATGATGGAACTTTTCAAAGAAATCATGACATGGATGAATTGCACATAAAGCTCAAAGAGTAAAGAATAGATAGAATCCTATTTTATTTTATTTTGTCATACACAAGTTTTCTAGCACTAGCAAAAGGGACTTATTTCGCATTTCGCTTTTCACAGACATAGATGGGGCAGAAACTGTAGCGTGTGACAAGGAAATTTTGCTATGGCTGCTTTCAATTGTTATATTATACCTATATCTATTAGTATTGCTTTCTTTTTCTTCATGAGACTATAAGACAATTAATTCAGTTTATTGAATAATGAGGTCAGAAGTTAGTAAGATAACTTTTGTTACAACTTCTTCAGCAGAGTGAAATAAAATAATTTCTGCCTTAAAGTGTTCGCTCCTGATGTAACTCTTAAGTATCAATTTTTCACACTTCAGTTGAAAGTATGGTTATTTTTTTATTTTTTCATATAATGTCTTAACTTAGATTGTAATATCAGTGAAAGTGTCCCACCATTTCTGCAAGAGATATCAATATACTGTTTATCAACCCCCTTTCCTCACCTTGCCAAAATGAACCTTCCGTCCTTTCAACTCCAACCTATATACAACAAGAAGTCCTATTTCACATTGTCGAATCTCTATTAGATATATCAACCATATAATTGTAATTCAAACCATATATACATAAAAATAAAAATAAAATAAAAAAAATAGAAGGAACCTTATTGAAAATGACTTATCTCTCGTGGGGCCTTGCTCTTATATTAATTCAACTCCTTTTCTCAGCTGCCAGTTCATTTTCCTTCTTTCATATCATCTCTCTCGCTCTCATATTCTCTCTATCACAGCCCCTCCTACAGGTTTGGTTCAGTGCCTCATAGGAATAGACAAACTTGTGTTAATTGGAAAGGTTCAACCTTCATTATATAGGTAAGGGGAAATCTAAAAATGGGAAGGCACTCTTGCTGTTACAAGCAGAAGCTTCGGAAGGGTCTCTGGTCACCTGAAGAGGATGAAAAACTTCTGAGGCATATTACTAAGTATGGCCATGGATGTTGGAGTTCTGTGCCTAAGCAAGCAGGTGGTTTAACTCTACCTCCTTTAATCTCCTTTAGCATTATATAATCAAGAGAAATTTGTTATTCATCTCATTGTCATTGTTATGTATTTGCAGGTTTGCAGAGATGTGGTAAGAGCTGCAGGCTTAGGTGGATCAACTACTTAAGGCCTGATTTAAAGAGAGGAACATTCTCACAAGAAGAAGAAAATCTTATCGTTGAACTTCATGCAGCATTAGGGAATAGGTAATTAAATCACTCTCATGATTATTATTAAATCTTTCCCCTTTTTTTCTTTTCTCCTGTGGTTAACTTTTTACCTTGACATGCATATCCTGTGCTGTCTCAGATGGTCTCAAATAGCGGCACAATTGCCAGGGAGGACTGACAATGAAATAAAGAATCTGTGGAACTCTTGTTTGAAGAAGAAACTGAGGCAAAAAGGAATAGACCCTGTCACTCATAAACCACTGTCCCAGGTTGAGAGTGGAGAGGACAATGCTAAGAGCCAAAAGAAAGCACCTGGAGTATCTAGTGAATTGAACCTCCTGAAATCTGAGAGCTCCAAGTCAGATGCAGCTTCCTCTGAGCAGAGAACATCTTCAATTTCCCCAAAAGCCTATGCACCCGAGATGGAAGGTTCTTACAGCCCCAAGATTTACAGCAAAAGTGATGGCAATTTGATAACCAATTGTTGCAGCAAAGACTTGTTCCTAGACAAGTTTATGAGTACTCGCCAGGAGAGCTACACCACAAGTTGCCACCCCTCAGATTTGATGGGGAATTTTCCCCTTCAGATGAGTTATGCTACCACTGACTTTCTCCCAACTGATTCAAACTCTAGTCATTGGTTCAGCCAAACTGGAAGGCCTTTTGATATGAATTCTGAATTTCCTTTCAATGCCACTTCTATTCTTACACCTACAACCAGCTTGTTTCTTCCCAGTTCTTTTTGCTACAAGCCTTCATTTTCTGTTCCCTCTGACAATATTTCTACAGCCTATGGATCCAATTACTGGGAAGCCAATGCCTCCAACAATAGCAATAGCAGCAACAGAAGTAATAGCAGCACAGAGTTGAGAAGTAGCAGCCCCTTAAACGTACATAACAATATCCTTTCTTCTTGGGGATTGGCAGATTGTAGCACCTCTACTAAAGAGGCTCAAATTCATATGATGGAAAACCAGACTGAAGAAGCCAAATGGGATGAGTACCTTCACAACCAAATCTTAATGCCATCTTCCGTACAAAATCAAGCACCTGAATCTTTATGCAACGAGATTAAGCCTGCCATGCATTTGGTACCTGATACTTTAGGGGCTATACTACCTCATACCAAGCATCAAGAACCGTCTCAAACTTCTAGTATCTTTTCCAAGGACATCCAGAAGCTCAGAGCAGCCTTTGGACATATGTAGCAGCATTTGACAAAAACAAAGACAATAGATGGGTTCCAATCCAAGGGATTGCTATTCTTAGTACAGGTGTGTGAAACCACAGATTTTGCTCTTGTATATAGGTCTGATACAAAACATTTATTTCACCCTTTTTCGTTTTTGTTAATACTTGTGAGCCAAACCATTTGTCTTCTACCCTTTTCTTCTCGGATGTGGGGTAGAATTGCAGAATAAGGATTGATCTGCTGTTTTCTTTCTGCTCTTTCTTTATTTACTACACTGTAACCGCATTACAATGGTGCACTTCTATATCAGAGCCATCACAGATGTTTAGTGGTCCATGGGAAGTTTTATTTTCTTTTCAATGCCAGGGGAGGGGACAGACATAGTTTCTTTACCCACAAACAATTTTCAGAATCTCTTTTACCCGGTATGATCTTCTCTTCCCACTAACTTTCAAACCACTGAAAATGACACTAAACTTGTGTAATAAACACTTATTACCAATTCAAGGTTCTAATGACTGTCCATCATTTTGTCGACAGTAGAATAAGATAATCACTTCCATAATAACCTTGACACTTTGCCGTCTATGCAACCTTTTACTTTTAACTTGCACAATGAGGCCGTTAAGTCTTGTTGTACTCTTAGAAAAAAAAACTAAAGGGGAATAAATTTTTCTTTACTCACAAAGAAAAGGACAGGACCTTAGTTAAGATTAATTTAAAAAAAAAACACAAAAGAGGGACTATTTCCACCCATGAATAGTTTTAGTTGGATGCCTCTGGATATTCTTTGACATTTTTGAACACCTTGTACACTTGATTTTCAATTCTTGGTTCTTTCGCTCTCACTAGACTAACACGATCATGTGTGTGCAAGTTAAGTGGCAACCCTCGAAGCCACTGATATATTGAAAGTAGCTCATTTACTTTCCGTGCAATGAGACAATGACTTCCAAGCTAATAAGGACCATATGAAGTATGACCATGTCTTTTAGTTCCTTTTAAGACACAGAAACATCATTCTAAAGAACGCATTCAAGCAAGAAACCTCCAATTTCAAGAGACAGAGCAACTAAATTCCATTATGACTTCAGAAACCGCTTTATGACTCCTCAGGTACGCGTCACACAGGTGGCAATATCAATAACCCTAGGATTTCTCATGTAGGATTTCACCATAAACCTTCAAAAAAAAAAAAAAAAAAAGTCTTCTGATTGCTTGGTTAACTTTGTTAGAAAAGGTCAAAAATCTCACAGCAAAATCAAAAACCAAATTTTGTGAATCACAGTGCAAGCATAGCATATAACTATATAAGAGACAGCTTAAGCACAAGCATGTGTGTATATACACAATCAGCATAGGTGAAAATTGAAAAACATAATTAGGTCCTAAATAATACTTCTTTTTTTTCTTAAATGCATTTCTTAAAAATGAACTAATTAACATTGAATGGTAAATGAATGAAAGAGCAAAGGAAATACTCACAACATGACAGTGACTGTAATCAGTTTCGGATCCAAATATTCAAGGCTGGACCTCCAATAGGTTACTAGAATCAGTTTAGCGTGAAGACAGATACTATAATGGAAAGATATTTTGTAAAAAATTTTAAATAACTACTCAAATCAACACTTACATAATTGTCGTGCGGGCTGTGTAAAAATATACAAATTTCTAAAGAATGACTTCATTTATATTAAATATTAACTTGACTGGGAGTGTAGATGAGCTGTGTATAGCCAAACTTTAACTTAAACGAGCTAAATTTATAAAAAATATTTTGAGTTTATCTTGCTTCGTTAGTCTGATATGAGGTAAATGCTAGCTTTGGTTTGGTTTGTTTATGAAAAATTAAAAGCTTGACTTTATATTAACTTGACTTGGCTCATTTATAATTAGAAAATATATTTTTTCTAAACTCACATTTATGTCTAAATATGTTGAGACTATAAATGCATGAGGATTTATAAATAATATATAAAAATCGAGAAAAATAAAAAAGAATAAATGAAATTAATAGAGATTTTAAAGAAAGGAAAATATACTCTTATGTTGTAGGAGAAAATTTTTCTCTACTACACATACACATCGATTTTCGTGTTATTTTTTTATTCATTTTTTCTTTTTCTATAATAAGTGGGTCCTACACATGAGAATCTCTTATTGCATAATAGAGTTCTCTCCTACTGCATAAGAAAGTTCTCTCCTATTCCTTTAAATAAATGCGAAGAAAGAGGAATTGAGAAAGAGTTAGGATTGACGATGGATACCCCTTAAATTCTTCAGAGTTAGGTAGTAGACAGTAAACTACAAAAGTATAATTTGTTGACTGATTTTGGGTTTGACTCGTTTGAGAAGGGCTGATTCCTGTAAGGTTGATCTGTAAACTTGATGGCTGGGTGGGCATAAGCTTGGGCTGAGTCAGGATTTGTAGTTTGGGGATGTTTAAAGCTACACCAAACATATTGGAGGCTAAATCATTGAATTGCAATTTTATTTATTTATTTAGAAAATCTCTAAATCTTAAAGAGATATGTTTGGGGACCTGGCCTTGCCTGGCTATCTTGAGAAGTTATTAGATATCTTGAAAATATTAGATCGCCACTCTCCTAAAAACATATGCAAGACATTGCCTAGTTATCTATATCATTAAATTTAAAAAATATATAATTAAATTAAACCTAGATAGTTATTAAACTACTTAAAGTATTACTTTCATAGTATGTCAGTACTTTCATACCTATAAATAACTTATGTTTTAATAATGAGAAAATCATTTCTACATCAACTGTAAAAAGCTTTTTACATTTGCTCTCACATTATTTTACGTGTTATTTATTTTTATAAAAAAATAGTGGGTCTCAATTTTTTGTCTCAGTGGCAAATCTTTACTCTTTGTCGCTGTTGCAGAAAAATAAAATCCTTTAATAATAATAGCTTCTGTGTTTTGGTATTACTCTTAACTAAATTGTTATTGACATGCACTGACTTTAAAATAGGATAACTAGCATGCTGCCGATTGCCAAATATTATTAAAATGTAGACATGCCCAAATTGGATCATTAATTCAGGACTCTTTCTTTTGTTAGTAGGGAAAATGAAATAATTAGAAGTGTTTTGCAGAAGAGAATTTTTATTTTCGAGAATCATGATTCCTAGATGAGGTATGATATTCATAATATCGAATTTTTCTACTATCACTTCACTACCACTCTAATTACCATTGAATTAGAGGAAGAGTTGAATGAAGAGAGAGAAAAGAAAAACAACTTTCGAATCCAATGGTGATTAGAGTGGTAGTGAAGTGGTAGTAGAAAAATTTGATAGTATGAATATCCTACCTCTTTCTAGATATATGTTGGAAAAGTAAATTTTTCGATAATATTATTAAAAAATTATTTGATAAACTAAAATATTATCACGAATATTAGCCCAAAATTTATGATTATATATTTAGTTAATTATCAAATATTGCTGAGAATGTAGAGTGATTTTACAATACTAACCTAATCCATCATTTTCATTCAAAACTTTTCCCATTTAAAATTAAAATAAAATCTTTTCAAGAATCAATCCAGAAAACAAAATCAACATTCGGCCAAAAAATAAATCCGAACAAAGAATCCATTATGATATACAACATTTTCCTAACAATATAGTTCTTCACTTACGAAAATCCAATAATCATAACCCTTTCTGCAGAAGGCCAAATTATTTTGACCAGCAATGGCAAATGCAACAAAATCATAACCTCGAGGGTTTCGTCGAGAATAACAAGTCAGCCATGAGAGGAACACAAAGAACGGGTTACCTGAATGAAATGGAGCCCAAACTTTACGGCCCAATGTATATTTCTTTCTGATTCTGAGGTTACATTGAGGCGTGTAAAAGATTAACAATACAAGCCCACTCCTGATCTTTCTCTCAAACTATGATTTCCCACTCAGTTCAGCTTGCAAATTATAGCTTCAACTTTGAAATTGAAACTCCATCAACAATTGATTATTAATGACAGTTGATCTCTTGAAAATTCATTTGATACAAAAAAAAAAAATTTATAGACTCATTTGATACAATTTACCTCATCGTTAAATCCAATTATACAAATAAAAAACATCCTTTGAAATTATTGTTTTAAAAAATAAACAATATAGCTCTGTCTTTCTCCGTGTATATCTCATTATTTTTAACAAAATTTCCCTATCTTAAAAAATTATTAATAAAAAAGTAAAACAGATTGCTTATAGAATTTCTTTTCTTTCTTTTTTTAGTTTAGGTATATTTTAAAAACATTTTTTTAGCTATTGCATATAACTTGTATAATTATGCTTATTTTTATGATTATCATAAACCTGCCAATAATTTTTTAGTGTATCACAGTGCATGAGTTTAGTTAGAGATTAGTTAATAATTATTAGATGGACACATAATTAATTAATAATTAATTACTTTATTTATTTTATATAAATAAATATGAAGTTTGTATCATATATCTTCACTCACTTTATTAATTTTATTTTTTTATTTTATTTTTTGTCAACTCTGTGTGACTCTTGCTATGTTTCCCTTTTTTTCCAATGCATTGCTTTGTCCTTAAGGCTAGGGGTGTTAACGGGCCGAGCCGAACCGAGCTTTGGTCTTAAAAGACTAAGCCTGTGTTTAAATGTGTCGGTCTTACCAAGCCTGTTACCTGTTACGAATATAATTATCGGAATGTGACCTACCTTATTTACAAAAAATAAAAGTCTGATTTAGCCTGTTAGAACAAACAAGACAACAAAAATTTATCCAAACAGAATATACAATCAACAACACCAGTAATTCCATAAATATTCATAAATTCAATATATATCCTAACAACATAAAAAGTCTGTTTAACTAATAAAATAGGGGTGAAATGGATTGAGAGGTGAGAGAGGGCTATTATAAATAGTATAAAAAAATATAAATGAAAATGAAAATTAATATACTAGGCCAGCCTGAGAGGCTCCAAGGCCGAGCTTTTAAATTGGAACCTGAGGCCTTTTTACTAAACGAGCTTTTATACAAGTCCAAGCCTAGTTCTAACAACCAATATTAGACATGTAAGCTCAGGCCTTCACAAGCCGAGCCCAAGGCTCCTGAAAGGCCCCTGACTCATTTATCACCCCTAAGGCGTTTGGTTGAAGAGAAAATTTTTGAATACTAGGGATATGGTGGGAAAGTAAGTTTGGTAGGAAAATCAAAAAAAAGTTGTTTGAATGGCTAAGTTTTACTGGAAAAATTGAGTAAAATTTGTAAGTCTATGTTTGGTTAAAGATAAAATATTGATGAGAAAATGAGTTGCAATTACCAAAACAACCCTTTTAAAATTTTTGAATTTGAATTATCCTTTACCAAAAACGTCCATGAGTCTGTGTCTATGACCTCTGTCCATCTGTCTTGTTTGAGTCTACATGATTTGTATTATCGTACTATTGTCGTGAGGCATTAGTTGCAATTATGGTTTAGATTATGAGGTTATATTTGTGAACAAATTGTTATTTTCTATTCTATTTAGCCGAATAATTCCAAATACCACATGTCAAGTAATATTATGTGCCAGTGTATTTTGTGCAATTTTACATCCAATATCAATTGCTATTGCTGGGGGAATGGAATTGGTGGGAAAATATTGCAATCTCTTCTACCAAACATGATATAACTAGATTCCCAATTTCAAATACCTATCTATCTCCTAAGATACCTCCTACCAAACACTACCTAAGGGAATGAGGGTAATTTCTAAGACGTTAGAGAATATTTTATTCATGTTCAGAACAATGTTATTCTTATATCAATGTAAAAATAAGAACTCGTATACTCTCTTTTTTTTTGTATTTATTCACTTGAATTCAATGATTCACACAACTAAATTGAGACAGTAAATCAACGATCAAAATTGAGACAGTAACTAACATAATCCTGATATGTATATCTACTTAGTTTAATTTTAGATTTTGAAAATTATTTTTCAGTTTAAATTTCATAATTTTTAAGTTTTTTTATTTTATTTTCTGTTTTTAAAATTATGACTTCCAAGTACAAATTCAATTTTGTGCTAAGAAATATTTAATTATAAAATAATAAAAATAATAGAATGGTTGGTATGTAAAAAAATAATTAAAAAAAATGAGAAAAGTAATAGAAGGAGAGATAAAAGTAAAAAATAAAACTTTAAATATTTTTTTTGTTTTATTTTTTTCAAACAAAAGAAAAATAAAATTAAGAATTATTGATTAAAGGTTACCATTATTCTTTGCCCGTGCTAAGATATATTAGGACAAAGTTACCATTATTTGCTCTTGTACTAAGAGGTGTTTAGATTGGTTATTCAAATAAATATTTTATATATTTTAAAATTCACTTTAACATATGAAATTATAAATATTTTATTTTAATTTATGAAAAATTTAGAAATAAGACATATATAATTAATTACAAAACTTCAAAATAAATAGATTAATAAATTGCTAAACTTTAAAATTATCTAAAATCTCTTGATTTTAATAAAGTTACAATTTTAAGAGATAATCGAAAATTCCTTAATTTCAAGTATTAATGTAACACCCCAAATCTCTAACAATTTTAACAACAATAAAATATTCCTATAATAGAGAAAATTTTCAAAAAAAAAAAAACATTTAACTATTTATTAAGATCTTATATCTATTGCGGAAGCTAATCTAAAACTAATTTGGGAAAATGTTACCGCCGCACCTGTACAGGGACAAGTGCAAGGCTCTTTATTACATTCATAAATATAACAATAAAATCAAAAATATGTCTTATACATAAAATTTAGGATTAAAAAAAATATCTCAGTAGTTATCCTCACTGCCCACTTCTAGCCCGATCCTTTGTAACTTGATTCAAAGGAACTCTGCTCCCACGCAGGATTATTGCAGTCAAACAAACACAAAAGTTTGCAAAACTGGTAATCCAAATCCGATATACAAAAATAAATAAATAAATAAAACTCATAATAATCCAATAAACTAATATAAATCAAAAATTCAAATCAAACATCAACTTGTTATTAATTATATTAATCTTTATTCAATCCATTTAGTCCATTTAGAAAGGGCAATTATCAACTAACATATTCAGCACAACATTAATCATAATATTACATAAATGGTAACATTCACAATTCAATAACATTCATCATAATCAAATCAAATAACATTTCATTATTAATCATGTTTAAGTTCATTGTACTTAGTGGGAAGAGAACCATGGTAAACCCGGAAAACCCTGTCAGTCTACTCTGTGACCCGGGAAACCCTGCCAGTCACAAACAAACCACATTGGCCATAATCAATTCACATCTTCCTAGTATGCACACCTCTTCCCAAAGTTGCTACTAGTATCCCAGGGAACCCTGCCATACACCACTTTGGGAAGAACGGATATAATCTTTTTCACATCGGAGGCATAAAGCCCAAAAGTTGTGTTCATCACCTTGGGAGGTACCATCCCAAAGCTATCCTCCCACTATTTAATTATTTACAATCACACTCAATCATCATATCACATTTGAAAATTTCTTCTTTCAATATATCCATTACTCAAGGTCATCATAACTTCCATATTTTTTCAAGGATATAACAATTCAAATCTTCAACATTTATCATAGTAAAACCCAAATCTAATCATCGTCATTCATACAATCACATCACATCAATTATCATAATTATTCAATCATAAAAATATGAAAATTCAATCATATCCATTTATTCTCAAAATAAAAATTCTATTATTTTTCCAATAAAAATTTCCTAAATATCACATGTAATAATTCGAATTTAAGAATCGTGATATAAATAATTTCATATAAAACTAACCTAAGAACACCTAGATATTAGGATTACATATATCAAAATTCATATCAATATAACCTATGAGTCTCTAGGGATTAGAATTACCTGGTCTCCGTTTTCGCTAACTTCTAAAGGGAATAATTTGGGGCAGAGAACCCGGTTGATAATCAAAAAAATATTAAAAAAATGAATATAATTAAAATAAACTTTTTGGAGTGAGAAGAGAGTATAGTAGAGGAGAAATGTTAAAGAGTGAATTGGTTTGGTTAGGCTAGACCTCTATTTATAGTTGAAGTTTTGGGCTTGAGTATGGATTTCGTGCAATTATTTCCTTATTCTTCATTGATGTATCTGGCTCAGATATTGGCTTCATACACTATTTTATTATTAATTTCTTATGGCTCAGATTACAGCTAACTTATTTGCTAACTCAAGGCTGACTCATTATTGAGTCATCATATCTAATCAAATTACCAATCAACATTACCAATCAATCATTACCAATCGAACATTACCAATCAATCATTATTAATCAATCATTATCAATCAAATATTACCAATCAACATTAATACATAAATCATCAATTAATAAATCAATTAATCATCTAATATCTTTATATATATATATATATTATTACTACTAATTTATTATATTATTATTATTATTAATTTATTATTATTATTATTTTATTAATAAAAATATGGGGTATTACAATTAAGATTTCGTTATATTTCATCCATTACCCAACAATATGTTTATTATGCTTTGAGCATAGCTTTTATCTTTGTTATATTCCATTCATTGCAAAACTAACATTAGAAATAAAACAAAACAAAAAGATCATAGTTTATTAAAAAAAAAATTAGACTAAGCAAAACGAATATGCATGGTGCCTAGTTCTAAGTAACTAATAACAATTAAATGTTATCATAATTGAAATTTTCAAATGCCAATAAGTTCATTCTTCCTTCTTTCTTCAATTATATGGATCGCATTGAGGGAAAAGCTTTCCTCTGTTGACATATTGAACATTCACACAAGAAGCCTTGATGCCGGCACCGTCTTCTGGTGTTAAAATCACATCTTGCATGTAGACTCCTTTGCAAGGGATAGTTTCGCTGCAGTTAAATTTTATTGCTACTTCTGAGGCACTTGTTCCTCTGATGTTTTGATACCGCACGCCGCTCAATTCCACTGCAGAGTTCTATCATTCGACCAAGATAGTCTTGATTATGATCAATATCATGCAATGCTATAATAGAAAAAAAAATTCTCTCAATTAAGGACATGTAATTCGACAACATTAATTAATAATCACCTGCTTCTCCTGGCATGGAGCTCCCTGGTCACAGTAGTTTTGATCTATGATTATGGGATAAGTCACATTTCGCATCTCTATGTTCATAAATGTGATGTTTCTTGCATAACCAGAACCTCCCTGTGTTTCGGATAAAGAAAAAAATAAATAAGATAACATGAATAAAACACCTCTCATCTTTCAAAATAAATACCCTTCACATGCAACAAGTATATTAGGAAGAACCTTTTTGAATTTTGTTTTATTTTATTTCTTTAGTGCAGATTGAATTTATAAAAAAAATGAAATAAATAATAGAATATTCAGGAGGTCGGTAAGGATTAAGAGAAAGATCCATGAGCCGACTTTAAAGGAGACATGATGGTAGAGGGGGAATTTTTTTTATCAGGGAATCTCAATTTTCAAAAATATGATTTTTACATTCAGTTTACGATAATATCTGAAAATAAAAAATTTAAAAAAATTCAGTTTCCCAGGAATCTCCAAAAATCCCGCGTACCAAACAAGCACTAATGTATGGAAAAAATACTTCTTAAAGGAAACATGTTTTTTTTTTATAACTTGGAAGGTATCCCCATTTAACCCCTCCAGTCACTTTGTTCTCAGAATACGATCCGAAGGTTACCCCTCATTAAAACTGCGGGTACATTGAACTTAAAGGAAACATGCTTAGTATTAAAAGCCTTCGCATTACATTATAGAAAATGTAATATGACTTATGTGGCATTTGTGCGTAATGAATTTTCCCATTTTGATTGTCATGTTATAATAATTTGGTAAAGCCAAAAATTAAGTTGGCAACTTCAATTCTTATGCTTTTTGCAATTTATATTTATTAATGAGAATATGTTTCCAATATTTCTCATGCAATATATATAAAGAAAAAAGTGACTAAAAAAAGGAAAAAAATAAATTTCACCCATTTTTTTATACGTGCGTAAAATAAATTATCTGATGAAAAACATATTTTCCATTATAAATATAACTATTTTCAACCGTTTCGAATGATATAGTGTGTCAAATAGCAAAGTCAAACACTTACCTGCCAAGTCTTTATCCTCACTCCATTAGTCGTTCCTATTAAGGTGGACTTGTTCACAAGCACATCATAGACTTCAGCTTCTGAATTATCAACCCCTAAGCTTCCAATGCTGCACAATAATACTACATTAACATTTTTAACCAATCAATTAAAAATTGACCTAAACAAAACTGCAATTTAGAGATCGATGTTTGTGATATATATAAATCACAAACCTAATTCCATGTCCTGGTCCACAAGTAATATTCATAGCTCGAACTTGTTGGGACCCACTTACTATGGAAATACAGTCATCACCTTCAATAAAATAGTGGGAAAAAAATTAGAAATTTTAAAATTCAAGTGAATTTTTTATTTAATATTTTTTGAGTTGATCTTCATTTTTACCTGTCATGATGTCACTGTGGCTTATGGTAATGTCTTGGGTGTCCGTGACATGAATACCATCAGTGTTAGGGCTGTCCCCTGGTGCTCTAATCTCCAGATCCAAAACTCTAACATTTTTGCATCCCTGAATCCGAATATGCATTTGTTGTGCATCGTGGAACTTCAGGTTTGCCACTTTCAAGGAGTTGCATGCAACGAAAGTTACAGCCTATGCAACAAATTTTCCAAGAAAAAAAAAAGTTAGTATGAAAATAACGGTCAATATTGAAAATAATAGTTAAAGCTTTATGTTACGAAAAACATTAACTCACAGTTGGCGCATCTTTGCATGGCTGTGAAACAAGAGGAGGAGAGTAAAGAAATAACGGTCAGTATTGAAAATCACTAGAATAAAAATCAATAAAGATTTAAATATGGGATATAGTCATATATGGGTTCTTTAAAATTCAATACTTATTGCAAAATTAATAATGAGTTATCAATGGTTATTCAAATATTAATTAGATGAAGGTTATACTTATAACCGATTTTCATTTATAACATTTTATAAAAGTATCTTAATCATTGATTTCGGCCAATCAACGATTATCATTTATTGGAAATTAATAATTAATTAATAAGTTTAATTTGCGAAATAATAATCATTAATTGACAGAAATCAACGGTTAAAATATGATTATAAAAAATTATAAATAAAAATAAGTTGTAAGTAAAATCTTACTCTATTAATTATTCTCTGATTTAGTGGAGATAAATCCAACAAAACAATAATGTAAATTGGATTAGGAGTTTTAGTCATCAGAGTCAAACTTCAATAACTTACAAGGTTTTTGTTGATTTTGCAAGAGTTCAGCCACCAATTCCTGCCATTCCCATTGATAATGCCGCCTCCATCAACTATGAGATTCGTTACACCATAAAACATAATCCAATATTTGAGGCCACTTTTTCCTGTGCTTTCGTAAGCTGACATGTCAGGCCATGCAATGATTTCTCCACGAATCTAACATGAAGAAGCAGGAAACACAAAACAATTACAATGAATGACCACTAATCATCTAATTTCTCACTAAACATTGTTTTGAACATATATAGTATATATCTCACTGTAAAGGCAGTGTTTAGTTGACATGGGCCTGAAAATGTTATTAGCTTTAGATAATAAACACTTTTTTCGGGGACCACAAGAACACTCCCCGTAGAACATGCCACATTCCATGCCTTCTCAAATGCCTAAAGCACAATTACAAAAAAAGAAAAAAAATAAATAAATAAGAGATTGAGAACTGAATGGACAAAAATATCATGTTTTTCATGTTGTTGTTACGTTATACCCTGGTATCATCTCCTTCATCATTAGGTTTGGCTCCATAGTCATCAACAATAACCATTCTCTGAGACAATGCAGATAGGGTATATCGATCAGCCCAATTGGCGAGGCCAGAATGTTCATGATTTGGCGTCACCAGCCTCCCAGGCCACGTGTAACGTGGATAACTTGTTCGATAGCGTGTGTTCTCCATGTAAGAGCCAAAAGACAAGCCAAATGAGACAAACATGAAGAAAAATGAAAGAACTAAACTTTGTTGAGACATTCTCATGTTTTCAGTTTGTAGGAAAAGAACAAACTTAGCTGAATGGCAGATTTGTGTTTAATGTCAAAGGAAGACCTATATATACTAGAGGGATAGTTAGAGAGCTGGTTTTCTAGGATTTTCGTGGGGATTGGGCAGAGAAAATGGAATTCAATATGTAAGCAAAACAATCAGTAATTATTTGATTGGCATCATATATAAATAATGGATTTAGAGTTTGCACTTTTGAAGCATATAGAGTTATATCATATTTTAAGTAAGAAAAAAATATAAACAATGGAAATTATGGAAGGAGAAAGTGAGTGATTTTTTTAAAAATTTAAATTTTAAATAAAAAATATTAAGTTGTATTTTTCTTTTACTTAAAATAACATAATTATATGTCCTTTAAAATGATAAATATTTCTTTCATAAATAATAATAATTTGATTGATAAATGATAGTAATTCAGTTGACACGAGGGAACTGAGCAAGTAGGGGTGAGAGCATGTGTTTGTCTAAGCGATGAACCGATTGGAATATCTCAAAAAAAAATTAATTGATTTTAGTATACAATAAAGGGAAAAAAATCATAAATTCTATAGCAATTGTACTAAGCCCGCATAAAAGTCATAAAACAATATGTAATAAATGAGAATTTCCAAATGAAAACATAATAAATCATATGAATTCATATGAGAAACTAATACGGAAGGTACCATAATTTGGAATCAATGATTTTTCTTCTTCTTTATTCTTAATCCAAATGAGGGAAAAAATTCAAATTAATCTATTTATAGTATCAACAATCAAGAATTTTGGATGAACATTGCTTTTGCGTATTTTGTACCACAATGTGCGTATGTGGCAAAATATTTTTCTTTTTAAAGGATATAACGTTGTGTTATTTTAGATTCCAACCATTAATTTATTGCAAATTATTAATTAATTAATAAGTCTGACCCAATAAATTATAATCGTTCATTGACGAAAATCAACTGTTAGGATCTATAGGAGTGTATTGAATTGAGATTTCAAAAGATTTTAATGTGTTATTTTTAGACAAAATAATCCATTGGTATTCAATTAAGATTTTAAAGGATTGAAAAAAAGTCATGGTATTCGATTACGATTTTAAAAAACTATTTTCTAGTCCGTCCAAATTCGTTGGTATTCAATAATTGGTTTTTAAACAAAGGAAAAATAATATTATGGTATTCAAAAATTTAACGATTTTAATGAATTTTCTATTGTGTGGATTTCGTGAGATTCTTAGTGAGAAATATAAATAGGATGTCTCTCTCACAATCTCATACTAACCCCTCATATTTCTTGAGATTTATCTACTACAGTGTCTTTTTCTTCCTTTGACGGGTTGATCCGCTCGTAATCAGATTCTGCCATGGGAGCTTCGTCAAAGCTCAAAAAGAATAGATTTTTGAATGATTTTCATCACAAAACCAACAAACCAACAAGATTCTAATATAATCAATCTCAAAAATAGGCGATTTTTTAGAGCTTTTGGATAATTAAAAAATAATTTTTCAAGTTATGGGTCGCTATGGTTCTTGGGACAAAAATGTGTGATTTTTGTATTAAAAATAGGGGAAGGATATTGTAACAATCAATTAGGATTACTACCAATATTATTACCAATCAATTTAACCGTTATATCGATTATGTTGATCCAACAGTTGTATTTATTTTTATATTTATATAATTATAATTTTCATATTTAATGTAAAAGCATTAAATATGAAAAATCATAAAACGGGCAATATTGATATATATCCCCTTCCCCACACGACAAGGGTTTTTATTTATTCCAGCGGCACCAAGTGCCGTGTTGTTGATGATGTCACGGCTGCTATGTATTTTGTCAGGCTTGTCCATCGAGAGTTTCAAAGGGGATATTGGTGATGCTGATGGCAAATTTTCTGATGGCAAAAAGCTCTCTGGCTCTGAAAACGAATTGGGTAGCTTTAATTCTTTGCTGGCTAAGCCCCCACGACGAATGCCAGTGAAGGACAACGCAAATGTCAATGAGGGTCAAAACGGTGTTTTCATGGGGGGAAAAACAAAGGAGAACGATCCATTGAGGAGGAGGAGGTGTGCAGGGGATAGTTCGGAGAAAAATAGGAGCAAAAGCAAGAAAAAATATAAGGAACATTGGATTCAGGGGTTAAGTGGGTTGAGGAAGCTACTCACATTTGGCTTCACCCATAGGCCATAGACCTGGTATATTTTCTATATTATTTGCTACACTAGACTCTCTTACCACCATTATGGTCGTTTTTATATATACTTTCTAAATAATTTCGGCAAAGTCAAGTCTCCCAATAATATGTACAGTATATTTACCTTGTGGAATGTCAAATTTATTCTTCTTGAAATTTGTTGACCGTGATAAGGAGTAGGCAAAATATGCACAAGTATATGCAGTCACAAGTAATATATAACGTATTTGAGACTCCAATTATCGTTTCTACAAGGATTTTTAGCTTGACTAAAATTGATAATTGCTAAAACTTAATTCAATCTAAAAAAGAAAATAAAAATAAAATAATCACAAGACTAATCTGAAATAGCAATGACTACGTTACTATTTTATTTTTTTATTTTTCTGAATTAATTTTGGATTCAATTGTTCTAAAAGATGGAAAGTAATAAGAAATCAATTTAACAAGTGTTTTGTTTTTGTTTTTGATGTAAACAACTTTTAGAGAAAAAATGATCAAATGCTAAAACGGAGAAAAGAAAATGAGTTAGTGAAAATGTTTAGAAAAAATGGGTTGGGTTTTCGGTTCTCCTTCCCCACAATGCTCTTCCCCACAATGCTTGAAAGAATGATTTGATTAACAAGTTGCTCATCCAAAAATTCTCAGTTAATGGAACTCGCGTGTTGATTTTTAATCTCTTAAAAGTTATTTTATCCAAAATCAACCACTTACATATCTCTATGCCAAATGGGATTAGGACTCTTGTGACTCAAGTCCAATGTTACATGGAGGACTCATTCATGTCTGAAGTGAGATCCCTTGAATGATCTCTCATTCAAGTCCACGAGCTTAATGCATAATCTAAAATGAGTTATTTCTCAACAACTAATTCCTAAATAAACCTCTAACATCCAGCCAGACTGTAGAAAATTTAAACAATAAAAATAGTTTTAAACAACTGAGATAAAACATTAAAATCCAGAAAACCAAATATCATCCAAGCAATGAGGTTTGGGTATCACCTAAACCCAACCTCTAAAAGGACTAGCTCATACCCATAAGAGTTGAGCTCAAAACAGAAATGAAACAAAAGAAAAATAACAATTTAAAACTAAAATCAAATGCTATTGTAAAACTAAAAAAATAAAAATAGACTCTAAAGAAATATCAACCAAGAAGCAGGAGGAAGAAGACGACCCCCTACAGTGACGCTCTTCCTTCTTTTATATCCTCTTTTTTTGCATGTGACAGTCTCGTGACCCTTGCATCAATAGCCATATGTGTCTCTGCTCTCACACTTTGATCATCCTTTGCACAAGCATCTTCTCTTTCCACCCGCATTCTTTATCAACGAAGTGTACCTGGCTCAGGTTCACAAAACAATTGGGGTTTTCTTTTGTAAATTGTATTTTGTGAAAATAGTTTGGTTCATATCATGGATTGGGCTAGAAAATCATGGAAAATGGATTGATATGGCTGGATGCTTCAATGAGGGAAGATGAAAAAGGGGATAGGGTTTGATAGTTTTTGATTTGGGTTGAAATGAGTCACCCACGATGGTTATGCCCTTCTTCAGGTCCATTTTTTCTTCTTTTTACTCTTTTGCCCCTCTATGCATTGTTGAATTGGTCTGTTCTTGATGGGCTTCTTTCAACCTTAAGCTTTGGGCTTTTATTTAACTCAAATAAAACAATAAAAGGTCCATCAATAATTTTCACCCAAGTGTGTTAAATTATAACATTATTAGGTCAGGTCATGTTAATTCAATTAAAATTTTGTTAACCCAATGATAATTAGAGTCTCTCTTTAGAGTCTCAACAGATTTAAAGCCAAATTTAGGAGTTTTTCCTAGAGTGTTCAACTTATGATTTATTTGAATAAGCAATAAAAATGAACTAATCTCTCTAATCATGTTTTTTTTTTTTAACCCCGAAACTTTGTAATTTAGGTGAGGATCGAAACGATGTAAAGGATCGGCTCATAACGTGGACACATGCGGTAGCAACGACCGTGTTCAAACACTAAATTCCCCAACGTCTCCGTGTGTTGGGTTTTCAAGTTGAAGTTTCCTTTTTGATCGATCGCCACATTTTCTCGGTACATTAGTGTTTGAATAAGTAGCTTTTTATGAGAACAGAGTACACATCAATGTAGTAGAAGTGGGTAGGTGGGAAATTTGGATGCATATAATAAAGTCATTTTCTGGTCACTGTACTGCGATTGCTTTGTGTATTTAATAAATTGATATTTAGGTCATCACTTTCTCTGTCCCTTATTTTACCCATCAGTAGAAATTTTAGATGGAGATTTTTGCTCAGCATATAGTATAGTAAGTAGTAGTATATAGAGGGAAGTCGTCCTTATCTTCGGAGTTCAGCACTTTACAATGCATTATATTCCATTTAGTGTAATTTGCAATGTCGCTTCTGATGACGATAATATTAGAATCAACCAAAGTAAATTACAATTATAAAACAAAAGAGAAATTGTGCTTATCCATCTTATTTTTATCATCTCAATTGCACTTTAATGTATTGAAATACTAATTTAATTTAGATGCCTTTACGCGCGACTTAATTTATCACAACGTCAAATTGTCCCTAAATTACGGGAAAAATTATTTTGATTTATTAATTTTCCCTTGATAATAATAACTCATAAAATGAGGCTGACAAAAGACCCAAGTTCTTTTAACACAAGATTAAGAATCCTAATGGTAATAGCTAGCTAGTATCGGAACCCAGAATTCAGGAATGTCTTTGCAAGTGGAAGTTCTATATAGTTCTTTGTTGAATCAGGCTTCAAATTTTTGTTGTCTTTTCATATCAATCTACCATTTTCTTGCAAACAGGAGAGGTATTGATGATCTATTGAAAAAAGCCAGCAACCTTAAGGTATAGATTTGGGGTCCTCTCGAAGATTCTTTAAGGGGTTTATATGTAACATCTTCAAAAATAAAAAGCATGCAGCAGATGTACGAATTCATTTTCCGTTTTGGGACATTCTAACCAAGAGTAGATAAATGACTACTAATGAATCTTATTGACATGAATTATTATCTCTGAAAAGGAAGATAGATAATCAATAGCACCCTCAGCCAAGAATGGTCTTTCCATAACTTAATGAATGCTAAATACACAAATGGAAATTACAAGGATGAAAGTGTAAAATATCATATAACCACATGGAGATAACAAATTTTTCTCACTTAAACATCAGATTATGGCAGGTATTGTCACAGGGGTAAGCACAGTCAATAGCTTTGACAACTTCTCGATCGAAATACCAGTCTCCAACAGCAATTGCAATCGGCTGCATTATAAAAGATTATTATTTTCTTAGAACTATAAACAAAAAGGGGGAAAAGACATGAAGCTTGAGTAGTGAATATTTCATCCAAGGCATTAAAGTCACTCGTGTTGGACTAATCAAACTTAAGTGCAGTCAAACGAAAGCAAGAGTTTTTAAATGGTTCTTTCCCTTCTCCTGAGAAAGGGTTCAACTAGAAACCTTGGCTGCCCTGAAGCTTTCAGCTATACTTTCTTAAACTCCTATAGATTATAATTGGAAAGGCTTCTATTGTTCACTACATCTTGATGCTTCGTTGAAAGACCACATAGAACTGTTGTCATGCCATTTTCTAGTTTAAGAGCTTTTGTCCTAGCAGAGAGGCTTTCCAGAATGTTTTTGGGGCCTCTATAGTCTATAGCCATATAATGGGACATTACCCCTTATAATTTCTTTAGTCCATCCAATTACACTGTCTTAAGACAACGGAAACCTAAATTAAGTATACCTTGTTCCCAATAAGGGGAGAGTCATTAGCAAACCATGTCTCCTGTCTCTCAGACTGGCAATGAGCAAAACAAGAATTTATGAATAGTCCAGTTTGAGATGACATTGAGAAGTCTTTCACGTCATTTAGCAATTGATTTCTGAAGTCTGCTTCAAAGAAAAGATATGATATGTTACAATGAAATCAGATAATTGCAGATGTACATCAATAACTGTGTATGATTCACATTAGTAGAGATATAGTATATTACAAGAAAATTTCCTAAATGTACATAAATTTCTGTGCATAATCCACAATAGTAGAGATTAAGAGCACCTTGGAGGAAATGAATTTGAGATGAGCTACAATTTGCATGGTTTGATTTGCAATCACTCCAAGAGCCAAGGGGGTCAGCTGAAGGTGGGGCTAAACTGGCTTGGACCTGATAAAAACATAGTCCACGTCATAATAAAGTAGTGGTAATTTGATTGAAGCACCTATAAGAAATAACATACAGGGATCAACAAGAATGATCATGGTAATTGTTATTCCTGGTTTGAGTGCTGGACCCAGGTTTTTTAATTGGGGGTTGGTAAAAGTCTAAGTCCAAGTTTTGAGAAATGTAAAATCGAAAAAAATTTACCTTATTGTACAAAAGAAAACAGAGAAAAAAATTTTGGAAACCATTTAAGGTGAAGGGCAATTTCAGACAATAAATTAGTCAAGCTAGAGCTTATGATGTCCATGTGATAGAACTTGAGTACAAAAGTGTTTCTTGTAATTAGCATATAATCAGGTGTATCATTAACATAATACAGGAGAAGCAGTGTATTAATTCATGTTACCTGCCATGCATCATAAGCCGCATTGAGTAGAAACAATGGGGTCTCAACATGTTTGACCAAATTCTGAGGAAAGAAGCACTGAAGAAAGAAACTCCGCATGTTTAAAATTTAAATGTCTAATTTCAAGATACAAATAACATGACATCCAGAATAAGAATTACCGAAGTTGGGTCCAGTTGGTTGAGACAACTTTTTGGCAGATTTTTTTGTACTTCCTACAATTTCAAAACATCAGCAACATGACATATTTGTACAGGTTTTACTAACCTTACATCAGAGAAGTAAAAAAAAACAAAAAAGCTAATGAAAGAGTTTATCGCTAAGATTGTGTTACTCAATTTTAACAGCTTAAACTTCTAGTATGATAGGTCTTCGACATAATATCAAAGCTTCTATGCCTATGCGTCAAAATTTTGATCCTTGCTACACCCAGCATTGATAATTAAATTGAATTTTATCTAAAGATAAGCAGAACCATATAAATCTACTAATGCCATATTCCAAAAGTTTTTTATTTTTTTACTACCTAACTACATTAATACTACCTGTAACTGAACAACACCTCCAAACAGATTCCTCAGTGTGCGTCCCCCTGATACATCAATTCTACATGATTGAACAGATCATCAATTATACCTAAGTTTCTAGGTAGGTGTACAGACTACGAGAAGTCATATAAAAAAAAATACAAATCTTACGCATCAAGAAAAAACCCTGCATCACTCAAACATTTCACTTTGGAAGAATTTGGAAACAAGGTCTGGAACTCATCACAATGTATTATGGATGCCAGACCACCCGCAGAGCATCCAGAGAGAAGGGCCTGATATACATTTGTTGATTAGCATCCATGCATGTTATAGATTGAATATCAATATAAAGAGACACGGGAAACCTGGTTGGCGTTCTGCATTCCTTCGGACATTAATTCCTCTATTGCAGCTAGCCATATTTTTTGTCCTCGAAATTGAAGCTGTGCAGACTGAAAAAATGAACCAAATTCACATATCAATGGAATCATAAATTTCAAAATAAAGAATCTTACCATAACAATTAACTCACCAGCAATAAAGGATATATAAGAGTTCCTTATTCTTTAGAAAAGATAAGTCATCCACAACGGCAAAGATTCACAAAAACAAATAGCTTTGTTGATCTTGTGTTTTAAATAATTCTATGGGATATCAGAGTGTACATTGAAATTCGAAAATTTATATGTGCCACTAATGTGAGCAAATTATAGAGACGCACACCCGTGTATCCATACAACTTTGTTGATTAAGAAATGTGTTGTTCTCATTGGATACATTAGGATAAAAGCAAACATATCCACTACCCCTAAATGTGTGTGGTTCTCTTAAGCCATCCCTACCTTCATAACACATGTATTGACACAACGAATGATAGCACTAGCTGAAAGCTGCAGTGCACTAGTTCTCAAAAACTGCAGAATAATAGCTTTAAACATGAACATAACAAATGATAAAGCGCTCTAGTTCTCAAAAGCATGGAATTAAAGTTTAGTTTAGGCCAAGATTCTCTTAAGCCATCCCTACCTTCATATATGTTACAAAATTAACAATTAAATAATATTTTTATTTATTGACCTTCTCATTACCGATCTACCTGTTCGATTTAGAAAATTCTCAACCCAAGATAATACCATAGCAGGGAACCGAGTTGTAGACAACACAACTCCTCGTTCCAAGCCAAACATGAATGATGCCAAGTTGAAAGCTGAAACTCAAGAGCAACATACACGTTTGGGAGCACATGGATTTGATACCATTTGTTGAAACTCCTTTGCACATTTCCAGTTTGGCACCGAGATTATGAGATTGAACCCTTCATTTGGTTGGAAGCTAAATCAACAAGGATTCAGCAGCACCTTGCTCTACAACACGGCCAAAAGAGAACAGTGTTTTACTTTTCACCTAGGGTTAAATCCTTTTTAATTTAGCTTCCAAGCAAAGAAGATTTCAATGTCATAATCTCAACGGAAAACAGAACATGTCCAACAAAGGCAGCAATACATAGAAGGAGTTCAACTAATGATATAGACCACTCAGTCTTAGATTTCTTCTTGAATCCATATTTTGCTGGATCTGAATGAGTGTCCCCTTAAGCAGGTTAATGATTATCGATCTAGGGTTTTTGGGTTGATATGTCACTTAAGTACTTGGATAAGATGGATGTGGAGAAGAACGAGAGGCCTCAGGAGAAGGAGGAGGAACAAGAACACGACGATGACCCTTTGACATGATAAGGGGAACAAATATTACATGGGATAAGACATTATCTCTCTCTTTTCTACTTATATTTTTATATATATAATCTAATATAAATTATTCAAATTTCTTAAATTAATTTTACTGATTTTTTATAGATGAATGTTATATTTACAATTTTTTTTTTTTTTTACAACAATATGTTATGATTTTCGCCAATCAACGATTATCATTTATTGTGAATTAATAATTAATTAATGAGTTTAATTTGTAAAAATCATAACTGTTGATTGGCGGAAATTAATGGTGTTAAGATATAGCTGTAAGAGATTGTAAAAAAAAAGTTGTAAGTATAACCTTTCTCTTTTTTATATGGATTTTGTAAATGTCATCTATAGGAAAATTGATATATCATGTTACATAAACATACTTTGGTGGGGCCAACAAATATTAGAAAAAGAAATAAAGAAAAAAACATTACACGGAAAATGATCTGAGAGCACGAGGAAAAAAAAAAATCCTGTAACATGACTTTTGCTTTTCCATATATATATATGTGTGTTAGATAAGATCCTTTGATATTAGTATCAAATTTTAAGTTTGATATCTCATCTGATGACCGTTAGATCAAAAAAGATCAATGGTGTCACATGCTTACAAATCAGAGTCGTTGATTTATTTTTTATCTAACTGCTATCAGATGAGGTGTCAAATTTTAAATTTGATACTGGTGTCAAAAGATCCTATCTATCTCCATATATATATATAGAGAGGTAGGATTCTTTGACTCCGGAGTCAAATTTGAAATTTGACATCTCATCTGAGAGTCGTTAGATCAAAAAATATCAACGAATTTGATTTGTAAAAATAAATATATATATATATATAAATATATATATATATATATATATATATATATTATTTATAATACTGTATTATTTTAAATTAATAAAAATAAATAAATATGTTTTTTTGGTCCATATAGGCTTTTTAACCTGGGCTTACGTTGGCTAGGACCAAATCAAGTGGGCTGGTCCATACTAATAACTCAGCAATTATATCGCAAAAGTTTCCTACACGAGATGCAACCATGACACATAATAAATCTTTAGTGCAAATGAAGTGTATTAAGTTATTAGGATTTGTCTAATAATAAGGGATTTAGGTAGGTTGTATTAGGTTATGTGTTCAATTTTCACTTATATCCACTAACAAAAAATTCAATGCATTTGTCATTAATTTTGTAACATGTGGATAGAAAACATTACATTATCTGGTCAGAGCAACTGTCATTTAATTTTCCCTTTTTTCAAATGATATGATATTTTTTATGGTGTCACAAACTGAATGACAAATGCACAATATATCAGTTGCACTAAAGATTTATTCGATTAGGAGGATGGAATAACTTTGTGCTATATTAATTAAGAACCCTGATAGACAATATATAAAATCAATGCCACAAAATAAAGAGTTAGGTTTTTTCGTGGCCATAAGTTTGTGGTACTAGCTTTACTATTAGAAATTATAATGATTTTACCATGTAGCTTCATTGATTGGATGCATGTGCAATAACTCAGCTGTTAATAGCAATTATATAGGTAAAAGCATAAATAATATATGTGCTCTGATACTCTCACTGACCTCATTTTGACTATCTCCGCTGAAAGAAGCCCCATCACAGTACCGTAATTTGACTCTGTTCCAGTTAAAGAAATCTGCTCATGGAAGATTATGTCCACAAAAAATGACAAAACACATACTTGAGTATAGATATGTTGTAGCTTCCAGAAGGGCAGAGTTAACAAATGCATCCATGTGTGTGTAGGGTGAAGAGAAAAACCAGGGTTTTCTTCAGCTTTATTGCTCAATATTCCCGTGAATGGTATTTGACTTTCCATGTATTTTGAGGAACCACGACGAGTACTTCTTCTATAGACACAGTTTCTGACGGTATTACACCATCCTCCTCCCTATAGGTATTCAAAAAGTATCAATAAATAGCATGACTAAAAGTTATCATAACTTAATATAGGCCAATGAAAGGCTAGAACAATTGGCAAATTTTTAGAAACTATTAAACCTTGAAAGTATTGTTAATGAGACTCATCATGAAGACACTTGGACATTATTTTACATACCTCCAGATGAATAAGCCAACTATTTGCACCAGATCCAAATCCACGATCCAAATGGTAACCAGGCAATGTTCCATCCAAACACACTGCATTATAGGACAAAATTACAAAACTAAATTCCCAGATTTGAAATCAAGCAACAAATTTATGCATTTGAGACAATTTTTACTCTTTAACAAAATAGGTTCTGTTATCAATTTTATAGAACTCAACCAACGCAAACAAGCATTCACACAATGATGTATATCCTATGAGTATTATGTTATTTAAAAAGCATACTAGCTCCATTCAAATATGAGGCATATTCAGTCAGGAATCAATCAAAACAATATTCACTGCAGGAGAGACAAACAAGGTATGTATGCGTGGAGCTATCATAAGCAGAATGAGACAAAGAGGTAACAGGTTAATCTCCTTCTTGAGTTCCCCCACTATGGTATCCCATAGATTAGAATTATGATTGGGAAGTAACTAACGGCTAATGATAAAAGAATAATGCAAACTAGAGAGAAAGGTTAATTAAAGGATGAAGCTCTCAAATGTTGTGCATACTATTTTAAAGAAGAAACAAGAAATGGGTAATTAGCTACAAAATGTGGCATTTCATGCAATAGCTCAAAGAGTATATATTATATGTTAGACTCTCATATAAGGAAAGTAATCCACTTAATTGATGCTTAAAAAGAAGCCTAGATTGCGATGTGAAAGAAGCCTAGAATGTAGTTTTCAGAAAGAGGCACATCACATAAAAGAAGCCATTGACAAATAATTTAACTGGGAGAGAGAAAGAGACCAGCTCCTTTAGAATCAGCTCCTTCAATAAGAGTGAGGTTGACCATAAAAGGTTGCGGTGAGGAATAAGCCTTTTCTGAGACGGCACCGTTTTCTAAGAAAGAAAGCACAGACAGTGTCTCAGATCCAGAGGAGATGACCCCATAAACTAAGCATGCAAATTCAATGGCCACCAAAATCAGCTTCATTGTCATGTTTGCAATAATCAGCTTCCACTCTCCACAGCTACAACTACTCTACTGATTTTCTCTTTCTCTGTTGCCTTGTCTTCGCGTATTGATATGCTTTAAATAAGGTCCATTGATCGTTTCTCTTCTCCTCTGGAGGAAACGAAGCCTATCTTACTGCTAAAAGCATAAGATGAGAAACATATACAGATACAGTAGATCCTTGTCGTCATTTGTTGTTGTTATTCCTTTTTCTTTTTCTTTTTCTTTTTCTTTTTCACTGAGGTCACTTTAAGTAGACCTGTTTTTCATTTTAATGTTTTTTTCATACAATCACTGACATTAAAGTTTAATCTATGATGTCGTAAAAACCACGCAAGATCTTTCATTATGAACTGATTCCTAGTGCTTTCTTTTCTAGTAAATGGATCAAATTATTTCTTTTCTGCCTTTTTCTGTATCGTCAGGCCATCAAATACATATCTTTGCTTCTTGTTAGTCGTTACTAATAGCTGTTTTTTTCTCATCGAGCAACTCTTTTTGAAGAGCTACAATGATTGTCGTGGCTAATTGAAGGCACTGACAGAGCCAATCACGTTAATTTGTAGCTATAAAGGGTGTCGACTTTTTTTTTTCCACAATTATCATCGTATATAAAAATTGGGATTAGTGTTTCTCATTCTATTAATGTTACGTGAGATAATTTTATAAACCTACATATACGTAAAAGTATGCGGATGCATGCTTTCTTTTACTCTCTTTTCTCTTCATATATCATCATACTTTTATATATATTTAGGAGATAAAATTATCTCTCACAGCATGAGAAACATTAATCCTATATAAATTATGAGATTTGATTTTCTCATGTTAAATGAGAATTCAATTCTCATGTTGTAGAGATGAAAGCATATGGGACCCAGGTGTTAGAAAAAATTATATGTAGGGCCCATGTCAGCACGGAAATCGAAGGGTGTGTAGGAAAATTTGAATTCTCATGTTAAAAATGAGAATTATAAAACCCATAAATTATACTTCCTTTTAGTTTAATTTTCATTTTATAAGACATGATAAATTACATTTAATAATAATTAAAAAAACTACTCCTTCCTCACCTGACTATCACATGTTTGGACTCCGGAGATTAACTGGTTATCCCTGATTTCAGTTAGCCAAAAGGAAGATACAAGATATTTCGTTTTATTCTTGTCCAAAGACATGTAATTTGAAAAACAATAATAATAATAATGTTTTAATGAATCAAATGTTTTTATTTTTAAAAAATTTTAAATAATTATTCGAAAGGCGTTACTTGAATTTATTAGGAGATTTACATTTGACATCATTTTAAGTGCAACTATAGATATCCATCACCACAAGTAATGTGCTAATTAAATAGCATTACTTTTTTTTTTTTTAAAAAAAAAATAGCATTACTTTTTGGGTATGCACCCAGACTCGGTGGACCCGGGGGTAAAGCAGTTTGGTGCTCAAGTTTGCTGTGTCCACTTATTGCGGGAATTGATTCTTTACAAAAGTTGCATTGCAGTCTGCCCTATGGCACATCTCAACATTCTTATTAGCTTATACTATGAAGATTTATAAAAAGGACAAATTGTATCACACAAGTTCTCTACTCAACAATTTACTAAGTTTATCTTCTGTGCTTATAACGAGACGCTATCAATACACTTGATAACATATATTTAAAAGGATCATGTTAAAAAAATTTAATAAATCCTCCATTAGTAAGTTCGTGTTAACTTCTTAATGGTGACGCTGCAAAAAACTCTCAACGTTGAAGGGTATAGAAATTAGACACAATTCAACCACAAAACTCAGTTAACAAGTTATACGAAATGACAAATCAATAGCATGGGTCGTGTACTCCTTTATAAGAGCCAATGACTACTTTAGCTGGTCGAAATGGCATAATGCCAATAGATTAATTCATAATGATGATGCATGTTCTGTTCAGATGCCCGATTAGAGGAACGTATATGATAACTTATTTATCAAGAACAAATTGTTAACTCATGTATCCCAAAATAACAACAATAATAACAATATGTTAACGACTTAAAGTAATGTTCATGTTGATTTACCTAGAAAAAATTATGAACAAAGATTGGTCGAGCAAGGACTGATTAAACAAAAATATCATTTCTGAACAATTTCAGATAACCCAACTGGCACATGGACGCCGGCATGACTGATGATGAGCATTCATATTTGAAGTTAAGATCAGGATGACAGGAAAAACATATCCAAACACGTTATTTTAAAGAATCAATCAGCTTTCAAAGAATCCATCAAGATAACACACTATAGGAAGCTAAAGTTACAAATTGGGAGAGGGGAAATTGTCCCCCGAAAGGACTCCATTTGTGGAGCAAATGGAAATGTTCTTCTTAAGGAGCTTGGACGCAAACTAGCATCCCACAGATTATTATAATTGGTCAAAAATAATTGGAGAAGAAATAATTAGCCTATGAAGACATTGAGCCACTACATAATACCTCATTTACTTCATCATCAAACTTATGATGCTTGTACATTTCAAGCAATAGTTCCCTACAAGGGACAACAGCCCCAATCTTAATGCATGCCAAAAAAGCACCGGAAAGCTTTCTGTGCAGACTGTAGGCTTCATCCGGTGGAGGAGTGAGTCTGTGCTTCAGCATCGTCGCCCCAAGGTGAGAAATGCTTTGAGTGATGTTGTTTGATCGGAAGTCAAATCCACCAGGTCTTGAGAATGGCAAACCCACAATAAAACCAGCTTGGACGTGGGCATCTAGCATCACATCAGATTCCATTCCAGTGAGGAACCCAAGTCTCCTGGACATCTCAATGACCCCATCACTATCCTTATTTGCACATGCTACAACCTAATTAATTATGCGTCAAAAACAAAAATAACAGTAATAAGAGCTCCAAGATTTTGCAGCTCAGCTTATGAAAAGGGAAGGGTAATATAGTCAAACAGCTCAAACCGTCCTGCCAAGTTGAAGATGAAAATACAAGCAATCAAGTGCTAACAAGTCATCATATCATATGACACCATAAAGGAAAATTTTGAATTAAAAAAAAAACTTATACTGGCATTAGAGTCTGTTAACCACATTAATGGAAACAACTGAATGATCACCTTACTTATTATGAACACATGACTAATTAGGGGCATTTCAATTCTTTTTTTGTATATTCTTTAGAATTTAAATCATTCAATATAGAATCACGTCAACATAATCTTTAACCATGTTCTATTATATATCTATTAACTTCAGTTAAATCGATAATTTACCTTACATGACAATTTTCAAATGAGAATCTGGTTACTTACAGTCAAAATAGAGTCAGCATTTTTAAAAAAAAAAAAAGTCAAGAACTGACATCTTTCACGATCTAGTTTGAATATCCCATATCTCAGCAACATAAAAATTAAACAGAGAAAACAACGAACCAGATTAAGATTTCAACCTCAACTTAGTTATTTAGGAAAAGATAAATCAGAACGGAAGAGAACCAACCATTCTTAAATAATCATCAACAAATCTTTTTGGGAAATCCCGCGCTGCTCCAAAATCAATAAGATTGATTGTCTTTGTAGCATCATCATATAGGAAATTACCCCAATTAGGATCAGTCTGCACCAAAGAACACCTCCAAGGTTAGAAAAAACACAAAGCAACAAAACACAATAGAAAGAGAAGCTCATGAACATATAGTACATAACCTGTTAGAATAAATATGACCTCGTGTTCTTTATCTTGTTAGAAACTCGGTATTAGGAAAAAATGATTATAATTGAATTAGACTCCGGTAGTGTAAAAGAATAGCCACCAAGACCAGAAGTTGACTATACCATAATGGCTAATGCCTTGTCAATTGATTCAACAAGACCTTGCAAAATGGTATAACTTAGGCTATTATACTTGGTAAACTCTTTAGCAGCTTCAGTCATCTAACTTCATTACACATATCAACCTTGCTCTTTACAGAGCATGGGATGAAAACTATGTAAATAAATAGAATACATTTTTGCTCTTAAATCTTAACCAGTTCACAAACATCCAACATGGAAGTTTGTAGAAAGATATTAATGTCAAACTGTCAGTTGAGGATGATATTGATAGTGTCTGAATGTTGGGTTCCATTTGCAAGGTATGGGACTTGGAGTCCCACATTGATTGTATTAGCAACTAATATGGGGTTTATAAGGCCTTGGGCACTCCCACCCTTTGAGCTAGCTTTTAGGGAGATGTATCCCAAGATCTCATCAAATGGTATCAGATCATCCATCACGTGGAGTGTGCGTAGGGGAACGCACTAGGGAAGCGTGGTGGAATGTTGGGTTCCATTTGCAAGGTATAAGGTCTTGGAATTCCACATTGGTTGTATGGGCAACTAATGTGGGGTTTATAAGACCTTGGGTACTCCTACCCTTTGAGCTAACTTTGGGGTGGTACATCTCAATGTTGGGTTCCATTTGCAAGGCCTAGGTATTGATGGGCCTTCAATAAAGTATCCAAGCCCATTAGTTAGGAATTAGTATATATAGATGTTCAGGGTGGGGTTTCTTTACGACGGATTGATTGAATTTGGAGTGAGATTTGGGGAAGGATCTCTAGGGATCTCTTGAAGCCTAGGTATGTTGGCTTTGAGGGTGAGTTGAGGTCTTTTTACTTCTTGTTATTACTAGTTCGTTTACTAGCAGCAGTTGTATTTTCTGGGTCATTTACAGTGTTGTTTTTCAGAATTATTACGAGGCTTGCAGTAAGTCTGTTGTGCGTATTCAGTGTTTTATCTGTGTAAGGAGTTCATCTCCATAACCGCATTCCGGACGTGTAGAAGTCTGATTTTTCAGAATTTGAAGTCTGGTTACAATCAAATTCGCGTTCGTGTAGAAGATATTCCCAAAACCGCATTCCGGACGCATGAAGGGCATTATGAGTATTTAGTTATGCCTTTGGGTTTAACTAATGCTCCTTCCACGTTCCAGGCTTCGATGAATGAGGTGTTGAAACCCTTTTTACGTAAATTTGCATTAGTTTTTTTTTATGACATTTTAATTTACAACCGCAGCAAAGGAGAACATGTTGACCATTTACGGAAGGTTTTTCTGGTTCTACGCAATCATGCACTGTTTGCTAATAGGAAAAAATGCAATTTTGGCCAACAACAAGTTGAATATCTGGGTCATATTATCTCGGCCGCTGGAGTTTCGGCTGACCCACAAAAAATTCATGCTATGAGGGAGTGGCCCTCTCCTAAGGATGTCAAGGGTTTGCGTGGATTTTTGGGTCTCACCGGTTATTACCGAAAATTTGTGCAAGGTTATGGTAAGTTGGCTAAGCCGCTGACTGACCTTCTTAAGAAGAACAATTTCAAATGGAACTCAGAGGCAGATTCTGCTTTTCAAGAGTTAAAAGAGAGAATGTGCTCGGTGCCAGTCATAGCTCTGCCTGATTTTTCCAAACCCTTTACGGTTGTAACTAATGTTTCTGGCAAGGGGATAGGGGCTGTCTTAATGCAGGAGGGTCGTCCGTTAGCTTATGCCAACCAAGGTTTTTCGAGTAGAGCCTTGGCTAAATCTGTTTATGAGAAGGAGTTGATGGCCATTGTCTTTGCTATACAAAAATGGCGTTAGTACTTGATGGGTAGGCACTTTGTTGTGAGCACGGACCAAAAGAGTCTCACATTCTCAACGAGTCTTGGGTGAGGAACAACAGAAATGGACCTCTAAATTGCTGGGTTACGACTTTGAAATACAATATCAGCCGGGAAGGGACAACGTCGTGGCTGATGCTCTTTCCAGGCGTATGCAGTGTGCCGCCCTCACTAAGCTGGAACTGCCTGAAGGGGAGGTATGGGAAAAGGAGGTGCATCAAGATGACAAGCTTTGTGCTATTATCCAAGCTCTGCTACTTGATCCTGCCTCACAACCTGGTTTTACCTTATGTGGGGGCCGTTTATTTTTTGAAGGCCGATTTGTGCTCTCTAAGACATCCAGGTTCGTTCCCTTAATTCTCCATGAGTTCCATGATTCTGGTTTAGGGGGCCATTCTGGGTTTTTTCGCACCTTTAAAAGAATTGCAGGGGTTGTGTTTTGGGAAGGTTCCATTAAAAAATATGTGGCAGTGTTCTGTGTGTCAACAGAACAAAGTGCAGAACTTGTCACCAGCTGGGTTACTCCAACCCTTTCCTATTCCGACTCAAGTTTGGAGTGATATTTCCATGGATTTTCTGGGTGGTCTTCCTCGGGCTGGTGGTTTGGATACTATTTTCGTTGTTGTTGACAGGCTCTCTAAATACGCTCACTTTATGTCTTTAGCTCATCCTTATTCTGCGAAAGATGCGGCTGAGTTGTTTATCCTCTATGTGGTGAAGTTGCATGGGTTCCCCATCACCATTGTATCGGATAGAGATAAGGTTTTTATGAGTCATTTTTGGTTCGATTTGTTCAAGGTCGCGGGTACCAAGTTACATTATAGTTCCTCTTACCACCCACAAACGAACGGCCAAACGGAGGTGGTTAATCGGTGTTTGGAAACGTACCTTAGGTGTTTCTGCCATTCCAAGCCAAAATAGTGGCCTAAATGGTTGCATTGGGCAGAGTTTTGGTATAACACTACTTATAAAGTTTCCACGGGAATGTCGCCTTTCAAGGCATTGTATGGATCGGATCCCCCGCATATTTTGCGGGTAGGTAACAGCGCTGGTTCTGTTGATGTCGTGTCTCATTTGCTCACGGAGAGAGATGCCATTTTAGATGAGCTCCAGGCTAATTTACTAAGGGCGCAGAATCGCATGAGAGCACAAGCTAATTTGCATCGTAGGGAGGTTGTTTTTGAAGTTGGTGATCTGGTCTACTTTAAGCTCCAACCATATCGCCTCAAAACTCTTGCTAAAAAAATTAATGAGAAGCTCAGTCCTCGTTTCTATGGGCCCTTTGAGATATTGCAGAAAATTGGGGCTGCAGCTTACCGTTTATCTCTGCCTGATGGTTGTCGGGTTCACCCTGTTTTCCATGTTTCTCTTTTGAAGAAGGTCGTTAATCCTGTGCCTAATGTTCAGTCATTACCTCCTATGTTATCTACTGATTGGGAGTTGCAAGTAGAGCTTGAGGATGTTCTTCAATGGAGGCATTCGGCTACTGGCAGTTTGGAGGTATTGGTTAAATGGAAGGATTTGCCTTCTTTTGAAAATTCTTGGGAGAACTTTTTGGCTTTGGAGGCTTTGTTCCCTACTGCCCACCTTGAGGACAAGGTGCTTAATTTGGGGGGAAGTATTGATAGGCCCTTGGGGCCCAAATCCAGCTCGTCTAAGCCCACTCTGACTTATGTGCGTGGTAAAAATAGAAGGAAGTTCAATTGGGCCTCAATGAATGATGATGCAGCACCTATGGAGCGTGTAGCTGAGGAGTGTGAGGCTGACGTGTTAATGGGAGAGTGAATTAGTTACAGTAGTGTGAGGGTAGAAGTTTGTTATTTAGGTGTGTGTTTGCATGGGTAGAGTCACCGATTGAGGTCATGGGAATTAGGCTAGGCTTGGACAATGCTCATGGCGTCTCAATTCTGTTGTGAGGCTAATTGGCTCTTATTTCTGCTTCCTGTCATTTTCTGGACCTGTAATAGTTGAATTCTTATAACGGAGACCTTATTTTGTCAATTTCTTAAATTTAATACTAGCTACTGTGGTATTTTGCAATTTATTCATTGTGATCTTATCAGTGCACTTCCTAAGTTCTCTGATATTTGATGCTACAGTTAGTGTGTCAACAATGCAATTAATAATTTTACGCATGTGCACATATATAAACACAGTAAGGAATAACATGCCTGCATAAAACGGAATGCAAACAACTCCAATAATGTGAGTTCTAATAACTTATTCCCAATATAATTACGAGTTTCCTGGTCCAGTAGTGCCACTTTGTCAATTGGAATTCCTGTAGCAAGAGAAAACCACCCCATGTTACAATCTAAAAATTGAATACAATAGAATTATTTAATAGAAACTAATTGTAATTATTTAATCTAAATAATGTAAATAAAGTCATCATTTAATTGAATAAACAACCCCTGGAGTTGTTTGCTATATATTCCTTTTCCCCCCAACGCAAGTATAAAAATTATTTAATGAAAAGAAAAGCATCATTTATCTAATGAATAGGACAAATAGCATCATTCTCACCTAAAGCTAAGCAATACTTGAGCACAAAATGAATAAAAACATCATGCACAAATCTTTGTTTCTTCATAAAACTATCTCATTAAAGGCGGCAGCATTTCTCAAAATATCTCACTGACAATCTGACATTAATATGTACTAAAGTCAAACCAGCTTTGTTATTCTACAATTCCAAGGAAGTGCTTGTTTAATAATCACAAAATAAATATTTTTCTAACGAAAATTTCATTAATGGTTGAAACAACTTGAAGAAAGAAGGCCTGATATGATTTAGCAGCCTACCACATGTAAAATTTTTTATTACCCATCAGTCCAAACTCCAAACAGCCCATCTTGAAGTTTTCTTATGCAAAAGAAAAAAGGAAGGCGACAACTAAATTTATCTGTAAAAGATCAAAACTTTAATTAGCCATGTGGCATAATTAATGCATAATTATAGAACACATTTGATAATGTTGCTTATTGTTAGCACATCTTTCTTTTGATCTTGGAGCTTTACTCAATTGAAAATATGCAAGATGAAATAAATAACTAAGTAAATGACTCAAATCAGATATATAAAGTAAAGTTGGAAAATTTGCAGGAAATATTTTATTAAATTAGGAAAACTATATCTTCCGCATAAATAATACTAACTATTGAGAGCTTTTCTAAACAGGGTCTCAAATGCAGCTGCTGCAAATACCATATACCGTTTTATTCTTTTGAATCACTTAATTGTATAAGAAAGTTATGTAAGCTGTGATTCCAGAATCCTCCAGTTAAGCAAAGATGTATCAAATTCAAAAGAATGTATCACAAGAACTGGTGAAATTTATTATAATTACCATTAACAAGTTCTGTAGTCAATACTCTTTTGCTTGAAATATCATCCACAACTATTGGAACATAAAATCCTTCTGTGCAAGCAAGAAGATCTCGGAATCGCTTCTGACTTCCTGCCTCCAACTTGTAATCACACTCACGAGATAGTTCTTCTTTGGCCACCTAGGAAAAAAAAAGGATGAACGTAACAACACGAAACTTAACATATGGACAGATATATTTGTCAAGTCTTTTCATATGATAGGTAAGAGACTCCGGATAAATAAATAGCATCCTGCATAGTCCAATTTAGATGATGAAAGGGAAGAGTCAAATAGAAAGTGATAGAATGAAAGAGTTGCGGCTGTTGCGCAAGTCTGTATAGAGATCAAATTATTATAAATATTGGCTTTAGGATCTAACTGAACTTTGAAGGAAAATCATTAAGTGAAAAGAAGGGAAAGAAGGGCAAAGGGATCCGAAACCCTACAGACCAGACACAAAATTTTGTGGGTTTAAACACTACGAGATGAGGATATTGATATAAACACAACCAAAAGCATACATGAATGCTATTAACAAATACACACCTTTATCGCTCTATCAAGATAAAGTCCTTCAGGAATTAGATTTGTGTAGTTTAGTAGAAGTTTCACATTCTCAATGTCACTGTCAATGCTATCTGCAACACCAGGATACTGAATTTTCATAGCAACTTGCTTGCCATCCTTCATGACAGCTCGGTGCACCTAAATTTTGTATGAGGATCCTCATTAGGCAATACTATTGTACAAAGCAGGAGTACCACAACATATAGTGTCATGATTTTGCTGTTAGGATAATGCAAACTGTCTTGCTTGGAATTATATGGAACATAAGATCTCGTACATGAGGAAAAGAACTATAGCAAAGTTTGGCATTCTTATAAGAATGACTTTTATATTAATATGAATTCAAAGTGAATTAGATAGTCCAGAGTCATCTCAATCTAGATTTAAGAAAAAAGAGTGGAAAGCAAGATTGGGTTCTCAAAGCTTATCACATTAACATATGTTTATCTGTGACAGATGGAAACATGATTACTAGAGATCAAAGAACTATATATATTAATTCAAGATATAAAATCTATATTCAGTAGTAATATCAAATCAAGGACCAACTCTCCTAAAAGCTTAAGTTGTAAGGTGGCGGCCCCTGAATGGTCTTTATGTATATTTCTAACACACATCCTCACGCAAAAATTGTTTGGGTTTGGAACATAGACAATGCATAAGCTCACGTACCTAGTGTTGAAATTCAAATTTTTATTATCAAACTTATAACCACTTAGTCATAAAGGCTCTAATACAATATCAATAACCAACTTTCATAAAAGCTTAAGCTTTTACATAAAAGCTCGTGAATGGTTTTTATGCATATTATCTCTAACAAGTAAAAACCAAAGATAATTTGACTGATGATAAATATTTAATGTTCTTTTAGGTAAAAAAATATTCTCCAAGGGCTCAAAGGTTAAGAGTTAAAAAAAAAATAAACTGAACATCTAAAAAAAAAAGATTCCTTAACATCTAAAGTAAAGCAATTAACAAATTGTAAAAGAGATGGCCATTTTGATTATTTGAAATTACTTGAGCAATATCTAAAGCCAAACAGAAAGATGAAATGATGAAAAACGGTGACAACTAAAGAACTTTAGCACTCAAAACCAGTAAATGATAGATTTAAAGCAACAAGTAAACAAGCAAACATACCTGGCCAATACTTGCAGCAGCCATAGGTTCATAATCAAAACTAATCAATTTTGATGACCAGTCAGGACCTAACTCAGCATTTAAAACTTGATTAAGCTGGCTCTTTGGCATCACATCTGCACCTTGACGGACAATTTCTAAAGCAGCCAGGATCTACAGATAAAGGATTGAGAGTTTACTTTTTCAGTCACGTAAAATATAAACAGAAGTCATTCACTGATTTTTTCATGGAACTGATGACCTTAGGGGTAGAAAATCATACTAATTTTTCTTCCCAGCATTGGTAAAAATACAAGGGATAGTAGCAGACTAGCAGCAAACATGACAATCATAACCACCATTTTGCAAGAGACTCCATAAACAAAATAAAGCAATGTAGAAATAGTAATAGATTCACAACCTAATTAGCAAGTCTGTAAAAAATTACAAGCACCTTTGACCATGGAACTCATGATCATGGCAAACTATCCTGTAAGAGGATCTTTATCCACTAAGCAGCCTTTAATAATTTGTTTTCAAAATCTGCATTTATGCTCTCTGTCCAACCTTGAACCATTTGAAAGAAGGATGCATGTCTGACTGCTGACAACATTTAATATAGGTTCATGTACATTAAATACAATCACACTATACTGAAACAAAGACTTAGAGCCTATCTAAAAATTCAATTCAATGCTGAAAATGATTTAGTGCAGTTTGTTTAATTAATATATGTCAAAAATGAAGTTTAAGGGGGAAAAAAAACTAAAAACGTTAAGCACATCAGAGATCACAAAATGTATTCAGCAATAACTCTTTCCATACTAAAATAATTGAAAGAAAATAGTTATCCATTAGTATAGCCTTGATTATATATAATCAATAATAGTTTCCTTTAATACATTTTCAACATTTAAAATTCAGTGTTTTCTACCAGAAAAAGAAATTCAGTGTTTTATTTTTTTCATCACTTGAAATTCAGTGCTAAAATTTTTCAATTTAATCAAGCACACTCAGTATCTCAACTTCAATTAAAATTGCACGACGACTTCAGATAACAATCCTACTTACTATCATCAATATGCTCTTCGTAAACAATATACATATGCCCGATAAATAAGTTTGTATCATACCAAATGGATAAGGCTCCTTTAAAGTGAGCTTGTCTCATTTAATTCAAAATGCATCATAATCTTAACCCACTGAAATTCAAGGATGAATACACCCTTACTTACACTAAAGACAATCTCACTTTAGAGTAACTTTCTCCATACCAATTTAGCCACAAGCATAAAAGAAAGGCCACATTACCGGAGCAGGAATAAGAGATTCATCCTGTATGCTCAACATCTGCCCAATTTTGAGCGCTGCTCCACGCATTCTACAAAGCGCAAGAGCTAAACGTTCCGCATTTTTTTCAGACAAGAACGGGGAAACTGCAGATTGATTGCCTTGAGGTGTACCAAAGGCAAGCCTCTTGGCAGATTCCTGAAGTGTTCCCCACGCAAGACCAGCTCCTAGTCCAGCAAACCTACAATTTCATAAATGACAACAGACACTAAGAGTTAGGAACAGTAAATGCTTATACATCACAATCAAACGCATCACATCATAGTCATGAAATTGAATTAAACAACACTAACCCTAAAGCCCTAGAAAATGGAGTTGCGGGAACCTTCATCTCCCTGGGCCTTCGTTTCCTTAATGGCGGCGGCGCAGGTGCCACTTCTCTACTCGCATCTTGGTTAACATTTTCAGCAGCAGAGCTCGGAATCTCAACTTCCTTCACCGCCACATTTGCATCAGAAGCTTCCACGGAATCGCTCGGGACGCGATTATTTTCCTTAGTAGAAAAATCAGCAAAAACGTCATCGTTTGTCTTTGTTACTGTTATTGTTGCTGGTAGTGTTGAATCAGATTGAGAAGGCTGATCAGTGAAATAAACAACGGAATCGGTAGCAGTAGCGCGTGTGGTGCTAGAGGTAGGTCCAGGATTGGAGAATTGGCGAACCTTTCCTTTGGTGATGCCGGTGAGGTCGGTGGCGGAGACCAGAGTTTTCTTGATTAGGGTTTCGAATTCTCCGGTTGTGGCGGATTCGAAGGGTAAAGAGCGCTTCACGAATTCGTTGGCGATTAAGGATATGCCATTGAAGAGCCTGGTGAGGTCCCTGACGGAGGCCATTACCGATTGGATTGGATTGGAATTGATAACGTGGAAATTAATGGCGGGTTTTAATCAATGTTGAGAATGAGATTGAGAATCATCTTGGTTTTAAATTCATGTGTTCGAACCTAACATTGTGAACACTTGCCACTTACGTGGGCTGTTTCCCTTCCATGAAACTTGAAAGAAGTAACGAATGAAAAGGATTTGTCTGAATATATATATATATATATAGCTATAGGGAACGGGGAGGGAATTCTTTCCGTTTTGAGACAATGATTCGGAGAAGTGACCATTTTGTCACTCTCTCCAAAAAAATTTACCCCTAAATATTAAATTTTGTCAAAATGTCACGTGGCATATTTTGCTACACTGTAATAAAATATGTGTGCAAATAATTCAGTACACAGCGAATTTCTCCAATTTTGACACATGGCATTTTTGGTTCTGACGTGGCATATTCGCTACACTGTGCAGTGAATTATTTGCACACATATTTTGCTACACAGTGTAGCGAAATATGACACGTGGTATTTTGACAAAATTTACTGTTTGTGTGGCAGTCTGGTAAATTTTTTTGCCAACAGTGACACTTTGGTCACTGTTCCCAATGATTCATTTGAATTTATTTTTTCGAAATTAGTGTAAGCCTAAATTTTTGGGAATCGATATGAAAAGTGTTCATTTATTTGATCTCAATCGAGATAATAGGGAGAAAAATGTGTAATTTTGAATGAGTGGTTGTGGTCAAATAACATTATCACTTTTTCATATAAGAGGATTCAATTTTTTTATTTATTTTTTATGTCTTCTCTTCACATGACTCATATCTATATCACAAAGTTTTATATATACATGAGAGATAAAATTATCTCTTACAATATAAAAAATTAATTTTTATATTTTATATTTTTTTAAAGGGAAATCAAGTCTTTTGTTGCGGGAGGTAATAATTATTTCCTGCGGACACCATCAAAAGCAGTATCACTCTTCTTCTTTTTTTCACATAAATCCCATTATTTTGTGTCTGAACTGAAGATGAAAACGAGCGTATAATAGAGTATTCAGGGGTCCATAAAGGAAGCATTAAATTACTGGAAGAGGGGTGTTGAAACGTTCTACTTGCACATTTTAACACGCTAGACGCGAAAGAAGGATGCCAAGCAATGGAAGAGCGCGTTAAAACGCTCTCCAAGCGCATTTTAACATGTTGGACGTGAAAAATTATATGGAGCTACTAGAGGAGCGCGTTAAAATGCCCTCCAAGAGAGTTTTAGCGCACTAATGGATGAGCACATTTTAACATGTTACAACATGTTTCAATTCTGTCCATTCGCGTTTTAACACTTGTTTGGGATCCAATTAAGTCCCATTACGTGTTTTTCACCCAAAGTTAGGGTTTCTACACATATTTAATCTATTTTTATGAGGAATCATATATCACTTGACACCGGGGGCATAGTTTTCATCGGAGAAATGAGTTTTTCATGCTTTTAAAAGTCGGAGACGAGTCAAAGACAAGATTATGCTAGGATTCTTGAAGATTCTCTGCGCCATCACACCAATGGAGTTTTGGGAAGCCTTCTTGATTTCATGTGTTCTTGATTCCTCTATGTTAGGCTAGTTTTATTTTGTAGTTAGGGTTAGATGGAACACAATTAAATCTTTTTGTTTTGAATAATCTTTAATGTTAATCTTCATTTTTATATTGAATGAATTTATATTTAATTTTTTCATGCCTTCTACGAGTTTGATCATATAGATTGATCTAGGGTGAGTGTATGTCAATAGGGATATTGGTACATGATTTGTGCATGGTAAATTCATTGTAATTTTTATGATTATAGGGATAGACATAGGGGTTATGCAATCTTTACGATTGTTACATTTAAAGCTTATTTTCTTTGAAGACCAATCAAAAACTAAGATTCTTTAAAAAGAGTACAGAATTAGGATATCAATGCATTGAGTTCTAATTAATTTAGAGGAATCGATTGACGATATAAAAATGACATTCAATTAAGTGTTTTAATTCATAAGAAAAAGGGGAGATTTAGGGAATTTGAAACCCTAACTGTGTTTCTTGATTGTCAAGTAACTCGATATTTGTTTCTTTTTGTTTTGTTATTTAAGCTAATTTTTATTCAATTCTCTTGGTCAATTGTCCAACTTAAGCGTAAATTATGAATTGGTGATTGAAATCTAATTCTCGTGGAAATGATACTCTTACTTATATACTTTATTACTTATATAATCGTTACACTTGCCGAATCCGCAATGACAGTTTCTTAGATTCATTTGGTGCTACTAAAACGAAGAATGCTTCCGTTGAACACGTCAAGTGTTCAATAAGTAACGCTTTTGCTTATTAATGCTTCATAGATAACTTCAGTCATCATAAATAGATTTTCTATACAATGATAGATTTAAACCCCTCACAATCCATTTTTAGTAGCTTATTAGAAGTGCAATTTTAGCATATAATAAAAATATATATATTTGTTGGGAGATTTGACATATCCTGCTCGATACTAGTGTTTAAACCCTGTCTAAACTTTCAATTTAAAAAAAAAAAAAAAAGTGTATGTGTTCTTGATCAGACTTTGAACCCAAATAATTGTTGTGTGAAGGATGTAATAAAGTCATTTATAAACTTTCAACAAGCAATTTAAGTTTCAAGAAAATGGGTTCTTTTTGTTAATGAGAAATATTAGGGTTCCTTTATACAACATCACATTAGTCAAGAAAACGCGAGAAAAGAAGGAAGAGCAACCATTTTAATCCGTCTTTGATATCTCCTTATTTTACCATTAGATTAAGCCGAAATATTTTTAACAAATTTCGTAACTCATTGGTTTGGTCTTCATTCTGTACAATATTGTTGTTGATTGGAGGTTTGCAGTAGTACCAGAATTTTCTCAAATTGAACCATTTTCCGCAAAATTTTGCAACATGCAGCAATATTCAACGAGATATATCTCCTTGATTCACCGCCTGATCAAGGAGAAACTTTTATTGTCATTTCAAAAATACTTGTTTCTTGACTCTGACCGTTCGGCTTTGTAATTCAAGCTTCCAGTTGTCGGTTATTTGACAGCATTAAGAGGATATGAAAATTTCAATCTTGTTTTGGTAAGTGAATTCAATCTTGTTTTGGTAAGTGAAATTTGCAGTTATATCTCTTTGATTAACCGTTGGATCGAACTAAAAATTAGTCGGTATGTTCCCCTATTATAATTCTCTAATCCGATTGTTAAGATTTTTATTCGAGTTTTTTGGTGGTAGAAAATATTTTTGGATAAAATCTTGTATTTTGTAATTACCCTTTGCTTCTTTGATATAATGTGTATTTGATTTGTGTAATTGGTCATTGCTGTTGATCGGGACAATTTGTATTCTCAGTTTTTGTTAATAATGAAAAAATTGCATGGACTCCAGGAAATATTGGTGTTATTTTTTTTTTTCCCAAACCTTTAACATATGTACTTACCAAATTTGAAGTTAATGTTAAGCGAAAAGTATGAAGGAAATATTATATAGAATGCAAATAAGTAAAGTTTTTCTTTTGGGCCGGTTTCCCCCTTCTTTATACTGGAAAAAAAAGTCTAAAATTATTAGATGAATGTTGTAAGAAAATATTTTAACTAAAAAGCAATTTACGATTACCCAAAAAAAGAAGAAGAGCAATTTACATCCAGTTTTTAGTTGCTTTCAATTAAGATAAACATATGTTAGGGAATACTCATAAATGTCCCTATATAAACAGTACAATTACGAAAAAATTACACAGATCACATACAACATTGAACCTGATCTAATTTAATATGTCTATTTTTATGAATGATAAGGGATCAAAGTTCGGATCCTCTACTAACACATCTTTTGAGGACAAAGTTGCAACCTACTTATCGCAATATTATTCACGAGGGCGGATATTCTAACTACCAAAAATTCTTACTATTAGTTTACTACTTATCACATCACTATTGGATATCAAAAATTCTTACTACTAGCTTACTACTCCACATCACCATTGGATCAAAGAAGAGAGAGAATGCTAAAAAGTTTTTGAAGAGAGAGAAAATATTAATCTAAGAGTGATTAAATAGGTAGTAAGTTGGTAGTAGAAAATTTTGGTAGTGAGAATATCTCTCCTCATTATTCACAATTACTTCTTTCCTCAAATAATCGCCTTATACATTCTTTATGTCTTTCTTAATTTAATATTAAAAATAAAGAGAAATATTACTCTCCTTCAACATGAGATATCATCTCTCTCTTCGATTTTCGTGCCCCACCTTTTTCTTTTTTTTCTTTTTTTTTTGTAATGGTGAGACTCACCTATTTTCTCTCTACAACATAAGATATCTATCTTATGTTGAATGAGAGTAATAAAACCCAAAAATAAATCGCTTTCATATCTTTAGAAAAAAAATACCTCGTCTGTCACACCTCAAGGATCATGGAACTGGGATATGTTACAGACAAATACTCGCTCACAGCGTAGTTCATCAAATAAGAGACTAATTTGAGAATGGCCTGGGCCTAAGAGAGTAAGATCGTTTCCTCTGGCTCATGATGGAGGACAACCTCTTCAGTGTTCACCAATAACGAACTTACGTTTCTTCTTTTTACTAACATGTCGTAAAATTGCATTGGTTAAGCAAAAGCCAGATTCACAAGCAACAATGAATAGAATCTGACAAAAATAATAAGCTCATTGCTCCTTCGAAATTAATGAGAACGAATATAGTTCAGCACTTTACTTTTGGATTTTAACGTTAATTGTTCTAGACACTTGGATCGCGTATTGGTCGAGCGCCGAACCTGATTTTAATTTCGATAACGATTTTATTACATATCAGTATAAATGGGTTGAATTCTTCGTACTCATCTGTTGTGGGTATGACAAACCCACTTCCAGCCCAGCAAGGCCCAACAAGAAGAGGAGTACCAGGAATCCCCGTCACCTCTCCGATTCTGTATTGGGCTGGGTTCTATTACAACAGTTATTTAATTTATTTTACTGCAATTAGGTTTAGTATTTACATTCTGTTTTAATTTAATCAGCCCAATCAAACCGATAAGTTATTTCATAGGAAAAAGTGTTTGTCATTTAGAATGATATAAAGTTATGTCATTTTAAGAGAGAGGTAGACACAAGAAATTTTTTTATTTAAAATTTAAATTAAAAAAAAACCATTCACTTTCTTTCCCATGATTTTCATTCCTTGTATTTATCTTTCTCTTAAAATAACATAACTTAAGTCATTTAAAATGACAAACACCAAACCCTATTTAATTGTGTTCTGAAATGAAATGGGATGCGAAATATTAGAATCTGTTTGATTATGTTCTGATTTTTTTTTTAAATAATTTTATAGAATAATTTATAAGAGCTGTTTTTCAGAATAAAAAAAGGAAAAAATTCATTTGATAAAATTAGTTTAAAAAGATTTTTAAAAATTAAAAAACAGAAGACAATTTTGTTTTGAAAACATGTGTTCAAAGTTAAAAAACAGAAAAACTCGTTTGATTACCATTATTTTTTTGTCAACTTCATTTTATAATTTTTTTAACCATATGTAAAATTTTAAATCATTTTAATTAAATTATTTTTAATTATTAATTTTAAAAAATATATATTATAAGACATAAAATTGACTCCAATTAAAAAAAAAATTAATATGACCTCAATCCAGCAGACGTAAAAGTTAAAATACAATATCTTTTAAACTTGAAGATAGCTAAAAACACACGACAAATGCACGTTGCCGTGTATAAACCAGCAGTGTCAGTGATGAAGATTCGGCCTCTACTAGTAGCAGCCTAGTAGGGAGGGTGGCATCTGATGTGGATGCAAAGGGACATTGAGTAACAAACATTTTTTTATGCCTTATTATAATCATACATAGTAACAAAGATGCTTATACATAGTTATATCCCATTACAGTTAAAGAATAAACCTCATCTTCACAACCTAATTTCTAGAATATGCCTCCCTTTTCCTTGGTATAAAGGTCCCAAACTAGCGTTAACTGCTCCCATTTCTTTGACCAAATTTATATGCATGGAAGATGGGATTGTGCCCTTGGCATTTTATCTGCTTTTGTACGAGTGGAGTACGTGAAATTAGATTCTTTCGTTTTGTTAATTGATATGAGTAATATGACTATGTGATATAAAAGAATCTTAATCATTAATAATCAAATTAACCATGATAATTTTGTAATTTTTTATTTTTCATATATTTTTTTTCTCTTTTCTTATCATTAGTGATCTATCCTTGTATAATTAGGATTCTCTTACATACATGCAGAGGCGGAACTAGAGGGGGGTTAGGATGGCCCCGCCCCTCCTAAATTTTGATGGGAAAAAAATTAAATTTATAAATGATATTTTAATAATATTATAAAATGTGTGTGAGTGGGTAAATTAATGACATGTGTGAACGTGAAGAGGAAGAACAAGTATTTTCATTGAAGGGGGCGTGGGACTCAATCTTAAAACACTCTTCAAGTATCTTTTCACTCTTCAATTTTCAGTGATAGTTAATAACTCGTCTCATTCTCTCTTACCTTCTTTTGGGGGTAAAATTTAAGAAAATGATTCAGCTTTTGCATTTTCATTTTTTATTCAGCTTCTCCTAATTGTACTAGTTTGAAAAGTCAATGACGATTTTGGTTATGAAGAAGACAAAAAGAAGTTAAATATTTCTAGGATTAAAATATTAAAAAGTGGGGGGCTTGATTCCCTTGACATCTCTTCGTCTGCAAAGAATTCTCGATGTGAAAACACAGAGACAAAAGGCTGATCTTTGAATAGGAAAAAGAGTGGATCCGAGGGTTCCCAAATGAATTGACTTGGTAGTTCATTTGCCAATATATAGGTTAGAGGCATTTCGTAGAGGAGAAAAGGTTTTTTATCGGGAAAAAATGTTTTTCGAGAATATGATGGAAAATTATTTTTTCTGGGTAAGTTACTAAAAGATGTTTGGTAGGCCAAAAATTTTTCGGGAATGTTGAGTTAATTTTAATGATGTTGTATATTAATTTTTCCTCCACATGAAAAAAAAAAAAAAAACAATTCCACCCCTTCAATAGTAATATTCCCTAACTATTTTACATAGAAAAGCAAATGATGGGAAAAAAAAAAATTCTAGCCATATTTTTACTTCACCTCCTATGAAACATAGGCAAATAATTTTCCAATCCCATTTTTCTAAAAAAAAATTCACCTCCTACCAAACACGTAATTGTGAGATTAAATAATTGTAGTATGTTCTTCTAAATTATTCTTAATCTCTTTAAATTCTCAACAATTTTAGCTATAAAAAAAATGAAAGAGCATATATAACTTTGTGGGTATCAAATTTATTGATATGGATAAGATGATTTATTTATGGGTTCGCCTCTTCTGCAGCAATAACATATGAAATTTTTTGTAACAAACATATTTACACATGTGGATTCTGACATTTAAAAAGAAAGAAAAAAGTCAGGATCCGCATGCGTAAAATAAAATCAAGAACAAGTTTGGAAATAAAATAGAAGATCAATTTCTTAATGATTCTTTGATTACATACACTAAAAAAGAAATTGTTTTGAGTTTTAACACGGATTCAATTATATATGAGTTTAACAATAATAAAATTCGTAAAATAAGAGTCAAATAAAATGATCTTAGTAATAGATTTCTTTTAATTTTTTTATATTAAGTCTGTATTATATTTCAATATAAATAAAAATATTTTTTATTTTCGTTTCCGTCATTAAAATTAATGCGTTCGCCACTGGATACATAATACAGTCTTATTAACTAAGACGATAAAGATAACACACAGTCATAATGCACGGGAGCACAAATTTAAGAATAAATACAATTGTCAACTCAAACTTTATGTGAAAAACAATAGAGCAATTATGGCACAGAAAATGACTGAAAAATATCAAAGATGGATGACGAATTTTAACCAGTGAAAAATATCGTATCCAAAAAGAAAAGAAAAAGAAAAAGAATAACGATGGTCACCACCTCAGAAATTTTAAGCGTCACCACGCACGTTCAGAAGAGTGGTGGGTCCTCCTTCAAATTCATATATATATATACACGTACAAATAGATTTGGTGAGCCACAACCATTTCGTGCAGCAGAGGCATTACAAACAAACACCCTAAGGTATTGTTTTGTTTAGTTTGTTCCACTTATTTTTGTTTTTTGTTTTTTTCACCTTTCACCAATGTCCTATTAATGTGCATAAAGTCTCTTGATATTATTTTAGTTAAGTTTATGTGGTCCACGTTGGAAAGCATGCTTCAATGCATTGAATTTATCATAAACCATGAAATGACGGATACTAACTTTCCTAATCGTTTTAAATCAAGCAGATACGGTGGAGATTATTGAACTGTAAATTCAATATTTGGTCTCTTTGCCTGTCAACCTTTGATCACCAGGTATGTCTTTTTTCCTCTGGTCAAATCTGGCGTGTTAACGTCTTAAATTTTGGTACTCTTGCTTTGAAATTAGTTAAGTTAGGTGTGTTTTTGTAGTTTCTATTTCAGATTTTTCAGTTGGTCATATAATTATGATCATCAAACAGCAAATACGGTGTCCATTAATTAATTAAGCTACTGCAAGTGATGACTCTTTCAAGACATGCCTTAGAAAGAGGACAAGAGGAAATTTATATATGGTTTACTGAAATTTGTTGCAGATTTGAAATTCTTTTAAGATGGATACAGCTCCCAGGATTGCTGGAGTCAAGTATGATTGCTTGCTTTTTGGTATGATTGGTGCAACTCAACTAGTGAACTCTTACATGTTTCACAAGAGTGTATTATTTACCTTCTGGTTTTTTATTTAACTTCCTCGCTCGCCGCTACAAAACTCATTGAAATAATCTAGGCTAAGTTTTATGTGATACTGTTTCGGAGTTAGATGACAAACGAAAAGCAAGAAACAGAAGACAATAAGGAATTTAAATTGTTATTTTCTTCTTCGCTGTTTGGATGCTCAAGATAGATTAAGGAAAGTAAAGGGAAAGTTCAAACGAAAAAATATATATATATGGTTAGTAATGACGCGTTTCCTCCTAAAATTTTCAAATTGAAGGAACATAGAAAAATGGGTCTTGAGTGGTTTTGGGGTGTGCTTAACCAATTAAAACTTTCTATCATTCCTTTTCAACCAAACACACTATACACCTGTTCTGTTACTACAAATTTAAAGAGGAAAAAGGGGTGGGATACTAATTTCTGGTTCCAAATGTTGGTCACAGATATGGATGATACTCTATACCCTTGGAGCTTAGGTCTCAATTTGGCATGTCGCAAGAACATAGAAGGTACAAATATCAAGTACTATAGTTAGAAGTTAGAACATGTAATATTCTAGTTTTCAGATAATAATATGTGATAGAAGTACTATAGTTAACCAATCTTGTTTGCAGAGTACATGTTGAAACACTTGCATATTGAAGAAAGTGAAGTACCAAAGATGTGCCTGGATTTGTACAAGGAATATGGGACAACTATGGCAGGACTGAAGGTATATATTGCCCTATGTGTTTCTCCTCGTTATGCTTTTTTCTGTAATACTGATTCACTATCATCAATGAGTTTATGTAAGTTTTAGTCTTAATTTCCTCTCAGGTCCTTGGTTATGAGTTTGACGATGATGAGTTCCATGCTATCGTGCATGGAAGTTTACCATACGAGAAACTGAAGCCTGATCCAGTTTTGAGGAACCTTCTGCTTTCCATGCCTCAGCGTAAAATAGTATGTCAGAAAAAAAGTTCAACCTTAAATATTAGTTTGTTCAGTGAAGAGCATTCCATAAAATTCAAAGACTTGAAAATGTTCTTTGCAGGTATTTACCAATGCAGACCGTGCACATGCGGCTAAAGTTCTCAAGGGATTGGGTTTGGAAGATTGTTTTGAAGGCGTCATATGCTTTGAAACGCTTAATCCTCCCAAACAAACTAATTACATGGATGTACTGGATGATAATCACGTGGTCACAGGAAGTACAACGTTTAGTAATGCCTGCGATTTAACAGAGATTGTTTGTTTTAAATCTCACTCAAAAATCCTCTGTAAACCATCTGTGGAAGCCTTTGAAGCTGCTATTCGGATTGCTAACGCAGATCCAAAGAAAACAGTAAGAATGATAACTTACCTAAAATGTTATATGGGAAAATAACTTACTTTTAATGTGTTTATTTACATATTTTTGGCCCATAGTTCCAAAAAATCAATTCATAATAGTTCTCTTGTATCTTCTGCAGCTTTTCTTTGATGATAGTGTTAGAAATGTTGCAAGTGGGAAAATAGCTGGACTTCACACTGTTATCGTAAGCTATAATTTGCTATCTATGCATGTTATGTAGAAATCTAAGCAATTAAATAACTCCCTGTATTCATATGTAATACAAGCTAACGACACACTGATTGCAGGTGGGACGTTTAGATTTGGTGCCTGGTGCTGACCATGCTCTGAATAGTATTCATAATATCAAAGAAGCATTACCTGAAATATGGGATGTTGAAGAAGGCAACCAACAGCAAATGATCCAAGCTCCAGCTGTTGAAACCATGGTCCTTGCATAGGTTTTGCTTCGACTAAATATTTTAGTAAATGTATGAAGCAAATCAAGAGTTTCTAGCTCAGCATAGTTTTTCTATCTAAGTTTACTATAATTTTGCAAATGTCTCCACAGTATGCTAATGGTTAAATGCATTAACCTTGCAATTGGCATCATGAAATGGATGGGAAACTTGTAAATGCAAATTGCAGATGCAGAAATTTATAACAGAAAAAGACATTTACTATATTTATAAGGATTGTGGTACGAATCTAGTAATACAAAATCTCTCCTAATAATAATTCACTAAATGCACTTGTAGTGACATTCAATTTTTCCTTCAGCATAGAGCAATGATAATTCAAACAACATGAACATTGCAGATATCCATAACCCCTCCTCCCCCATAATTCAACTTCAACATTGACAACACATTTATCCCAAACTAGTTGGGATTTGTGGCAACTGAAAATTGTAATTAAAGTCAGAAAAATTACTGCACTTCAGTGTAAAGATCAACCATCTATTGGCAGTTCCCCAGAATTAGCAATTCTGCATGATTTCCGAGGGCTGTTATCTAACTTGCTTGTCTCCTGCGATTCAAGTGTCCTCACAACATCCAATCCTTCAACGACATGTCCAAACACAACATGGCGATTGTCTAACCATGGAGTCTACATCATGAAGTCACATCATTTACTTATCAGTATCAAATCCAAAATCTAAACAAACAACAAACAATGTGTGTATGTAATGGTAGAAATGAAAAAGATTAGGATAGTTTAGATAAATGGATGAGCATTAAAATATGTGAATCAACATTGTGTAATACTTCCATGTCAGCAAAGATTGTGCCCTGAAAAAATCAATTTGTCACACTTGGTTGTATCAATTTGAAAACTATCAGGATAACATTGTAGTAATTGAAATAAGAGAGACCAAAATGGAATTTCAGTGAGGTTAAGAGGATTGTAATAAAACCTTGATTTTATCAGTAGGTCAAGACAATTCAGACGATGGCATCTAGAATTGTCTTGCTCTTGCCAATATGTGACCAAAGTGTATAACCCATAAAAGTTAAGTGGTATAGGAAGTTTACTTGGGCTTAATTATAGTTTTAACTTTTAAAATATAGGCTGCATGCATTAATCTGGTTTCATCACATGAAATACTGTCTTCTTCTATCTGATTTCCCTGTTTCCAGTAAAGTCCTTTGAAATAATGTTACTTATAAAATTTGCTTGTTAATAAAGAGGGGTAGGTGGGGAGGAAAGGGTTGGAAATTCTTTTCAGAAAACAAATTCATATACACATATACGCTTTATTTGATTCTTAAAGTCAAAGAAGGACAGCGAATGTCTCTCTCACCTGTACAGTGCAAATAAAAAATTGACTACCATTGGTATTAGGACCGGCATTTGCCATGCTCAATACTCCAGCACCAACATGCTTCACTGCAAGGAATTTTTTTTATAAATGTTATCTAGAAAAGTCAAGTCTGAAGAAGATTGACTTAACAGTTTTAAATTAGAAAAACGGCCATAGCAAAATTTTGAATACCAATCACTAATAAAAAATTTAAAAATCAATATTACTAATCAAGCATCAGCAGAGACATACAAGCAAAACTCTCATCTTCAAATTTAGCACCATAGATACTGATTCCACCAGTTCCCTACAGCCAATTAAAGCATATTTGAAGTGAGAAGAAACATTATCACCCTTAGCACGATGCATATACACATGGCAGTGTGCAACTGCATGCACACGACAGTTAGCATATATATGCAAGTATAGCAACAAAATATAACAAAGCTCACATCTCCTTCAGTGAAGTCACCTCCCTGAATCATGAAATCTTTGATTATACGATGGAAGTAGCATCCTTTGTAACCATATCCTTTCTCTCCTGCACAGAGATTATTCAATTTGATGCATAAAATGCTGTGTCACTCAACCAATTTCACAATAATAACCACAATTACAAGAAAAACAATGCTGTAGAAAAATTTGATTGCTTGCCTGTGCACAAAGCACGGAAATTCTCAACTGTTTTAGGAGCAACCTCTCCAAATAGGCCGAAAACAATCCTTCCAGTAGGTTCACCCCCAATTTCTACATCAAAGAAACACTTGTTTGTCACTTTGGCTTGCAGCTCTAGAACCTAAAATTAACAAAACCATGTAAGATAATGAACCATTATCGTAACTCAAAGCAAAATTGACTATTTTGGATTGCCAAGAGCTTTTGTGGTTAAAGCAATACGATTTGAACATGGAGATGCAACAATCCAAACACCATTCATTCTAAACGATTCTATGATCAACAAGTGCTCCATATTTCTGGAACTGTTTCTAAGACTACGTTCAATATTAAATGCTCACATTGGCTTAGAATTTTTCTGCAAACAAAATTCCAAAGAACGAATTTTAAATGATGTACTCACATTTTCCTTAGCATTAATACATGTCATTCTCCTATAGGTGATTGGTTTTGCTTCAGATTGTTGTGTGAGAGAAAACCTCGAAGCATAATGAGATTTTGATGCCAATGTTTTGCCGTAACCAAGCTGTAATCCGGTACTGCTATAGACCACATGGGGCCTTCCAGCTTTTGACACATCTTGGCTAAAATTCCCCTGAAGAAAAAAACAAAAAATTTCCCATTATTAATGTATATAGACACTTTACTTTAGTAGCATATTCTCTTGTTGTCTTATCTTAAAATATTCAAAGCACCCACTGCACAGTTAGCTGAGATGAACATCGTACTGTATATAAAATAGAACAGACACATTTGCATACAAGAGTCATTTCATGCTGAGGTCCAACGATAACATGGCATGTTTGCAAATTGTAAACAAGTAGTAGATCAATATGAAAAAAGGAAAAGGAAGAGCTTCAGGAACTGCAAATGTACCCAGGAGCGTTACCACCTGGGCAAAAGTATATAATAATTTATGCGATAGGATATTACGTGTATATTTTTTTTCATGCCTCCTTAACCTATTTCTCCCCACACACTTAGATTATAATCTCAACTAAGGTGGCATAATAACTGTTGAGATATATAAAAACCATTAATGTAACTTCATCCATTAACTTAAGCTTTTGGGTTGAATTGGTTCTTTACATAGTATCAGAGCCTCGTAGCCTCGTGTCTCGGGTTCGATCCTCACCGCCCCCCACTTTCTCTTGTGGAATTTCTTAGCATAGGTAGGTGGGTCTATGCATTGTCCACCCTTCAAGTCCATTGAGCTCTCGTGTGTGAGGGAGCGTGTTGAGATATATAAAACCATTAATGTAGCCTCACGCATCAGCTTAAGCTTTTGGGTTGAATTTGTTCTTTACAATATCCTATCCATAATTTATTACAATACTTAAATAAAAGATATCATATCTCTGGTAAAAGTTATCCTTTTCATATCTCTTACAACCAACGACCTTTGCTGTTGTCATATTTAATGGTTTGGAAGTGTTTGGGGTGCTACCAATGACCAAAGCTAATTTTAATTTGAAACATTGGACCTAATAACACCTTGAATTATCGTCATTATTAACAAGTTTTAAAGACTCAAAACACGAGCATGATAAATAAAAAATAGTAACCTGGACATGATGAAAACGAGGAAGTAAGTTCTGACTATGTACCAACTGCGTTGAGAATGAAGATGCCATAACTAACAAGTTAATTGGAAAAAGCTTTTTCTCGTGGAAAAATGCTCTCTCTCACGCTCAAGTTTAGCTTCTCACTTCTCAGTTCAGCTGAGAGCACACAGCCACACAGGGGTGCCTAAAAGGATAAACTGATTTAACTTTTTTCTAGCAAAAAATTAATTAAAAATAGGTTTGAATTAACTTATTTTCGTATTAAAAGAAAATGTTATATTTATAAATTTTTACAAACTACATTGTATTTTATTAATAAAACACTCTTAAATGAAATTTCATGATAAGACATAGTATAATTTGTAAGTTTGTAAGAAATTTGTTTTGTCAAAATAACACTCCTCTACCAAATGGTGGTAGCTAAGTTGGCGCATGGGAGCTAAGCAGATGGGGTAAGAGCATGTGTTCGAATCTCTCTGGTATCATTTTTGGAGGAGTTTAAAGCCTTAATCATGGACCCACCCCGAATCGAATTAGTTGCGAAACAATGAACCGATTAGAATATTTTCAAAAATAACACTCCTCTCTAATATATGGTTAAATTATCAAAACTAAAACGTTCTTTAAAATATTAATCTAAGTTAAATAATAATTGTAAATCACATAAATATTTATAGAGAAAAATGTGTATCATTTTAAAAGATACAAAGTTATATCATTTTAAATGAGGGAAAGAGATAAATCATGAGAGATAGAAGGAGGGAAAAAAAATTTAAAGATGTGAATCCTACCTCTTTATGAAAATGAAAAAATATAAAGTATATCATTTAAGAGGTAGGATCCTTTGACACCGGTGTCAAATTTGAAGTTTGACACATCATCTAAGAGCCGTTAGATCAAAAAAGATCAATGGTGTCACATGCTTACAAATCAGAGTCGATGATCTTTTTTGATCTAATGACTCTTAGATGAGGTGTCAAATTTCAAATTTGACACCGGTGTCAAAGGATCCTACCTCATCATTTAAAATGACACATATTTATTCGATATTTATAATGCTGATATTCTAACCTTGGTCAGTGTAAATTAATTACTTTGTTGACTTAGTGAGGTTTTGCAAATGTCAGAGAATTAGAAGAGAACAAAAACAATGAGTGGCTTTTCACACTCTGCTCTCCCATTCCCTCGACCAGTGCCTTCATGTTCTAATTCCATATCCATAACCAACTCCATCTTCTTATTCTCATACCCTTTTCATTTCAACACCCACCAATACCATTCCCTTTCCACTCCACCTTCTCCCAAACCAAGCTCCTTCAAGTTCAGACCTTTCTTGCATAATCGTGCTTCCAAATCCGACCCCACCACTATGGAGGATGATAATGATAATTATTCTTCTGGTAATTTGACTTTGGTGACAGAGGATGATAAAAATGGGGTTCAAGAGTCAGAATCCTTAGCTGAGGATGGGTTTTTCATAGAAGTGATGAAGCTGGAGAAGAATTCCCGCAGAATCCAATCAAGGATTTCCATTGAAGCACCCCTTGCTGCGATTTGGAGCATCTTGACCGATTATGATAGGTTGGCTGATTTTATTCCTGGCCTTGCCGTTAGCCAATTGCTCCAAAAGGGTGACAAATATGCTCGTCTTTTGCAGGTTCCTCTCTCTATCACTCATGATATGCGCCAAATGGGGTTCTTAAAGTTTGCATTTTTATGAAATTAGTTGCATGTTTTTGGCAATATTTCTCTGGATGCATTTTATTAATTTGCTAGCTTTCAAACAATATGTTGGGGTTGTTTTGGGTTACTCCATTTCTGAATCAAATCCCATTCTTTATTAATTTAGGGTCATAAAGTAAAAATATTAGAGTAATTCTGAATCAAACAATATGTTAGGTTGTATTAGAGATTATTTGTATTGGACAGCCCTCATGAGGACACGTGCAATTAGGTATAAAATTTTGGTTGCATTTTTTTGTTGCTATTGCTATGTAGGGAGGAGGGAACTTCCTTTACTTGACTGTTGAGTCTGCTTCTCTATGATGGACCTTATGGTCCTTATAGCCTAGCCGCGGAAAATTGCAATGCAAATAAAAGACACATTAATTGAGAGGCTTTCAATACTCGATAAGTTTATAATGTAATACAGATTGGTATACAGCTACATATCATGGATTTTCTTCTTGCTATCGTAGTTATTTTCGTCCAATACTTTCAGCCCTTTAGACTGGTGTTAAATGTTCAAATATAACTTGCATTACTCTCTCAGTCACGGACAACCACCTCATAGTAGAGTGGATAAGGAACAAAAAAGTAAATTAGGTCCACAAGATTTTGTTGGAAAGCATTAGCTCTTTAAAAATGTTAAAGCACGGATGTTCATGAATGACTTTTGTTTTAAAGATGTGAAATATCCAGCTTCATGATATATGATCGCTCTAACTTGTTTGATTAGAGCTGTTTGACTACCAGAGATGTCTGGGAAATCATTTAGGCATCAATTGTGGGTGATGAGGATGCGTAGGTACCTATACCTTCAAAGTATGGGAATACTGATGTTAGTGACTGATATGCATTGCACACTTTAGTTGGTGCAGCACTTTACTTCCGAAATGAGAGTCAGCATGACGCTATCCTTAGAATCAAAATTTATATAGGATTAAATTATAGTAAGGCCAAGCATGGTTTTATCTAAATTACAAGCCTCTAAGTTGCGGAAATATTTTTTATGATTCAGGACCACCCAATAATTTGGTGCTCCCTCTCACAACACTAATTTTTTCTTTTCCTTTCTACCCCTGTTATTTTTTCTCTTTTCCAATTTTACCCTCTCATTTACACTAAGGGACCACCTAAAAAATGGTAGTCCCGGACCATAATAAATCCTCTCCTAAGTTGCAACCTTAACAAACAGGATGTGTTATTTTACTGTGACCTGAACTATAAACTGATATCTTTTGGAGATTTTCCTTGTTCATGCATTTGGCTTGAATTATATTTATTGTTGCTACGTTATCTGAACAGATTGGACAGCAGAACTTGGCATTTGGGATAAAATTTAATGCTAAAGTAGTTGTAGATTGTTATGAGAAAGATTTGGAGACTCTTCCTTCCGGCGTGAAGCGTGAAATCGAATTCAAGATGATTGAAGGAGATTTTCAACTCTTTGAAGGAAAATGGTCTATTTTGCAGGTAGAATTTTTATTTGTTCCCCACTTAGAATTCTTGTGGATCCAGAATAATGTATTATATACATTTCTATAAATATACACTTTTCTGTATCATAAATTGACATTGGAAACTTTAGGGTATTGAGTATTGACCAAGTTAAGGCTATGATTTATGAGAAACATGACAATTAATTATATTATTTACAAAATGGGGTGTTGTATGCTTTTGGCTTGACTTTCTCCACGTAGACAGCCTTCTCCAATTCTCAACATGTTCATTGGTTTTGTTCTGAAAGATGCTGAAAGTTTATAGATTTTGAAACTATATATTCAAGTGGGTAGACATACAAATACAAAGCTAACTTCATAAACAACGATGGTTTTGCAGCAATTCAACAGCGGAAGTTGTGAGGAGTCCCAAGTCGGAGAAGTTAAAACGACTCTCTCATATATTGTTGATGTCAAGCCGAAGCTGTGGTTGCCCGTTCGTCTCATAGAGGGTAGACTTTGCAATGAGATAAAAATGAACCTTGCATCCGTAAGGGACGAAACTCTAAAAGCTACCCAAAGGACTGTGCATGCACATGAATTCGAATGAATTATGTAATTAATAACATATTATTGATCATAAAAAAGAAATGAATATAAAGTATAGTTTACATCTCGCGGTGTACAGCTGCAAGCTTGGTCTTATTCTCCCCCTAGAATATCTTCAAGGTCTGAACTAGACTTGAGAGAGTGGACGTATCCACGTGTTGTTCTTGATGCTGTTTTTTTAAAATATTTCAATTAGTTCATCATTTCGCGATTACTCCAATTTGAAGCGAGTTCTGGAATTAAGATTTTAAATTCTTCCCAAAGATGATATTAGAGAGAATTGTACATATGCTTTGGAGAGGATTGAGCTAACCGAAAGTGTGACAGATGTATAGTTCAGGTCATCTTATCTATAAACTTACAAACATTTTTTGGGTTTGACCCTTTTTTTTCTTTATAAAGAGGGAATAACATAAAAAAGATAATAAATGTGGCGTTGCAATTGCAAACACATCTATCATGAGTTATCGACATTGTTTTAATATTTAAAAAGATAATTAAAATTTGTTAATTTCCCACATTCAGGTTTTTGTTTTTGTTTATGGGTTTTATGAGTATCACGTAGTAAGAGAGAATATGTTTCTCCTAGTGGCTCAAAAATGTATGAGGTTTATTTTATTTTTATTTTTTCAATGGAATCTATTGATTGTTTGTGTCTATGGCTGGAGACATCTATTTTCCTGTATCATAATATTCATAAAGCCCTTTGTTTATTTAAATTTATCAAATGTTTTTATATTGAAGAAATTTTATGTACTATATGGAGATTTTATTAAAATGGGAGATGGAAGTGCTTAGACAGATTAATTAGTTATGTGTCACGTCGGAAAGACAAGAAGATATTGAAAGTTGAAACCCAGTTGTTGTTGGACCAGTGCCGTAGCTTGTTTCATCTGACAGCTTTAACCTATTACTCGGTGAATGAAAGTTTTTAGTGATTATTGATTTTATAATGAATATTTAAAATCTAATAAAATATTTCCAAGATACCAAACTCGAGAAAAAAAAAATCCGATTACGTCTTCTTCACAAGTGACATCTTCAAACTTGAACCTTTGTTTTCCTCTTTGTGGAAGTGTAATTCACTAATGCCCTTATTATTGTATCATCATGAATGAATTTAATTTTATTAATTTACATAAAAAGGTAAACTTAAGATTTTCCACTTTGTGTTACTCGAAAAACTTCTGATCAATTTTTTTTATCCTAAATAAATTAATCCAAACATGCACATATCTTGAATTAGCTTAAAAATATTTGTTAAAATTTAACATACAAAATCAAAGTAATAATATTTAGAATTAAACTAGTAGATCTATCCAAATTAGATGTTATACAAAGATCAATTAATGTGATTGTTTCAAATATTACACAATGTCAATAAATCTTCAGTCGTATGACAAAATAAAGTTGTCACCCTCGTTTGTTTTATATGTGATTGTAAGTATATTGATACCCACACGAATCATATCATATCACTTTTACAAACATAAATTTATATAAGAAATCTATAGACTTTAAGTTTGGTTTTTTTAATACAAATTATTGGTATGGGAATTCATTGAATGGGACAAAGTAATCAATACAATAAGGAGTGACTTTAGGAATAATTAGAGTTAATCGCCACCAACAGTAGTTGTCATAAGTCATAACCTAGGACCATTTGGCAAATAATGATTAACTAACTCAAAGTGGACTTCTACCTTCATCGTTCCCTTTCACCTTCATAATGAAAAGTACATTGATCATCACCTCGATAATGTAGGTTGAAAGCAAATTTAAATTTTAAAATTGAGTACTATATAAACTTAAAAAAAAAATTAATACTAATAATAATCAGAAAATAATATTCTATAGAGAATTAGACCTAGGTAGAGTATCTACGGATGCATTCCAAACAATTGTACAACATAAAAAATTGTCATTAGTATACAAACATTACACTATTTTATTCGGCAAATTAGAACAAACATGAATACTGGGTATCAAAACCTTACCCCAAAAGAACACTAACATTTGAACTTTGAAGCCATTTACTCGTGATGCAACTCTCACATTTACCCACTCCATATAGGACGGGCCTTCTTGTTTTTACGCCACTACTTTTTTTTGTCACCTTAACCCTCTTTTCTTAAGAGAGGACAAGCATGTTGTTAATTAATTAGTAAGTGGATTTGGAAGATATATGGATATATATACTTTTTAGCTGCTCCCTTTTTGTAACCTTTATTTTTTTTATAACTATAGTAAGTCCATAATGGCCATTCTGACAGCGTATGGTGATGTTTCACATGGAGGGTTCTATTGCATAATTGTTGTCTTGCCTCTTATTCCCATGTAAATTAAGATTTTTCTGATCGTGGACTTTGGTCGAAGATGCCCACTTCAGATGTATAATATATCTGTAGGGCATTTATTATTCCCTTTCTCTCTCTTTTTGGATAAAGGGTATTTATTATTCCCTGCGCATATCTTAAGAACACAAAAAGATACGTACCGGAAGTCATGGCTTTCTTTTTTATTTTAATTTTTCATTATAGCGTTGAAAAGAGAACAAATGGGGACCACATATTTTGTCTTATCGTCATAATCTCGTTGGTTTAGTTAGTCAACATTGTGGAGGACTTGATGCTTATGGAATTAAATAGCTTTGTTTTGTAAGACTTTTTTATTTTTTTAAGGGATCTATTTATCTCATGTTGTATCAGATAATTATTTCACGCAATAGAGATAAGAGAGTGGGTTCATCATTTTTAAAAAAGAAAAAAGAAATTATGGACCCTACTACTTTATCTCTGTTATATGAAATATTTATCTGATGCAATATAATATAATTATTTCCTTTTTTAATGTATTTATCTTTATTCCTTGTCATTAGTAATTTGTGATGCAGAATATATTTATTCTTTGTAATTTTGTTATTAGATTAATAACTAACTGTTATTAGTTTCTTATATGTTAGTTAGTTTGTTAGACTATTAGTTACAACTAGTTAGATATAGTTAGTCTATTAGACTAGTCACGTGGGCTTTGTGTCTCAGTTTACCCTTCTGCTCCTTCTTGTACATATAAAGGAATTGTGCATATCAGAGATGCAAGTACGGTTTTAGTTTGTAACTTTTCACTTTCATCAATAAAGTTTCTTTGCTTCTTTACATACACTAATATGGTATCAGAGCTCTCCATGGAGTTTTGATATTCGTCATTTTTCTTTTTCGATTTTAGATTTGTTTTTTCCTTCACTGGTCTTCTTCTGAATCAAGTGAACCAAGGTGTTCAATCGATTCTTCTGCATGGCGAATCAGAGTCCTCCGCGTGTCGTGGATCAGGTCATAGATCAGCCTGAGATTCATGAAAGTGCTTCTAATACTGCGAATCAAAGGAATACAGATCAAAATCCTGTTCAAGAATTTTTCAGATCAGGACTTCCTTCATCCAAATGAGAATCTGTCTCTCATACTTGTGTCCACGCCTATGAACGGTAAGAACTACCACGGATGGGCCAGAGCCATGACTATGGCCTTGATTTCTAAGAATAAACTTGCTTTTGTAAATGGTTCAATTTCTGTTCCAGAAATTTCTGATCAGCGTTATGCTGCTTGGGAGAGATGCAACACCAAGGTACTGTCATGGCTGCATCGATCCATTACTGACTTTATTTCTCATTCGATGCTATGGATGGATAGGGTTGTTGATGTATGGAAAGACCTCAAGGAGAGGTTTTCTCAATCATATATATTTCGAATTTCTGACTTACATGATGAGTTTTTTCGTCTTCATCAAGGAGACAAATCAATATCAGATTATTACACTCAACTCAAGATCCTTTGGGATGAGTTGGAGAATTTGCAACCAACACCTTCATGTAAGTGCATTCGCCCATGCTGCACTATTGCATCACAAGTGAGGAATATCAAGGATAGGGACTATTCAATTTGGTTCCTCAAAGGGCGCAATGAGCAGTATTCTCATGTGAGATCCCAAATCATGCTTCTGGATCCTCTTCCATCGATAAATTGTGTGTTTTCACTGGTCACTCAACAGGAGAGACAAATGTATATTGAAGGCATGATGCCTAATTCTGTAGATGGAGCTTCCAATGTGTTTTACAACTCTTCTGCAAAGCATATGATGGCAAGAGGAGGTTGTTTCAATGCTAGAGGAAGAGGATGAGGTTACTATAATGGGCGTGGAAGATCAACTTCTAGGTTGTGTACACACTATAGGAAAACAAGCCATACTATTGATACATGCTTTGAGAAGCATGGGTATCCACCTGGATATAAGATGAAAAGTGGACATAAAGCTGCTAATGTTGTGATTCAAGATGCTTCAGATGCTCTTGGTGATCAGAATAATGTTGTCACACAGCAAGAGAACAAAGAGAGTTTTACTAAGAATCTGTATGAAGCTATATTTGAGATGATTCAACAATCCATGCAACAACAACTCATTCAGCAAACTTTGCAACATCAAGGGATTTCCCCTCATATGAGCAACATAGTGCAGGCAAGAGCACTCAATACCGAGAAAAGAGCAGCCAATAATGAAACAGCCTCTTCAGGTAATGCTTGCACATAGTGGATCCTAGACACATAAGCCACTGATCATATAACCCACTCATTCACCAGCTTATCCTCAATACAAAAGATTGCACCAATAGCTATTTCTCTACCTAATGGTAGCCAGGTCCACTTTTATTACTTAGGTACTGTAATTTTCTCAGACACACTCAGTTTATCTAATGTCTTGCTTGTTGAGAACTTTACTGTTAACCTCATATATGTAACCAAATTGGTACAATATTCTAATTGTTGTGTAATTTTTCAACAGCGAATGTGTGTCATCCAACACAAGCCTACCATGGAGATGATTGGTTCAGCTAAGCTAAAGGGAGGCTTATACATCCTCACTCAAGACTGTAGCCAGAAAAATATACCCTTGGCCTTACAAACCAAATCCACAAATAGCATTTCTGTTCAATCCCCTTATACTGTAAAGCCTAGTACAGCAGATATATGGCACCTACGTTTAGGTCATTGTTCTTCTTCTGTAATAAATACAATGATGACACAATATCCTTTAATTTCTTGTAAAAATACAGATAATCCTTGTGATATATGCCATTATTCAAGGCAGAGAAAATTTCCTTTCATTTCTAGCTCCACTGTTTCTAATAATGCTTTTGATTTGGTGCATATAGACATTTGGGGGCCATACTCCACATCTTCCATTCATGGTCATCATTATTTCTTGACAGAAGTAGATGATTTTACACGTTTCACTTGGGGAATTTTGATGAAGTCCAAGTCTGAAACCAGAATGCACATTAAGTCTTTGGTCATGTTTGTAGAAAATCAGTTCAACACGACTATAAAGTAATTTAGAAGTGATAATGGTCAAGAATTCATGATGCAAGACTTCTTTAATCATAAAGGGAACATCCACCAATTGTCATGTGTGGAGTCTCCACAACAAAATGGTGTTGTGGAGAGAAAACATCAACATATTTTAAACACAACAAGGGCATTACTTTTCCAAGGCAATCTTCCTACAAATTTATGGTCTTATTATATTTCTCATGCCATTCATGTCATCAATAGACTTCCCTCACCAAAACTGCAACATAAGTCACCCTATAAACTGCTGTACAAAAGAGCACTTGTGATTATTCATCTTAAAGCCTTTGGTTGTTTGTCTTTTGTTTCCACACTAAAAGCTAATCGTACCAAGTTTGATTCAAGAGCCTGTAAGTGCATATACCTTGGACACAAGGATGGTGTCAAGGGATATATTATGTATGCTCTTAATTCCAAGGAAATCTTCCTTTCTAGGAATGTGTTTTTCTATGAATCACACTTTCCCTTTTCTGAAACTTGTGCCAATGACCAACCTGCTCTCTCTGATAGCCCAATTATCCTACCAATACATGGGGACACACTATATCACACACTTTTATGTCCACAGCCTGACCATTCACCAGATGAACAGTTGTCACAACCAATACCACAACAGTCTTTACCCACAAGTCCTGTATAACAATCTGTCCCTAGCCAAGACCAACAATTACCTATCGGACAAACAGAACAGCCAAGCTTTCCTCAGCATATACCATCAACAGTCAGACGTTCCACAAGAGTGAGGATGCAGCCACGACACTTGGCTGATTTTCAATGCAATCTTTCTTCAGTTTTAGCTGATCACACATCATCTCTAGGTAATCTTCCTTCCACTTCTCATCCTATTTCTTCTTTTGTTTCTTATAACAATTGCTCAGCTTTCTATGCTTCCTTTTGTCATAACCCTTGTTCATCTGTTAAGCCTAACTCTTATAGTCAAGCAGTGCAATCTAAGAAGTGGGTTACACCATGAGAGAAGAGCTTGATGCTCTTGACCGAAATAAGACTTGGATTTTTGTTGATCTGCCCAAAGGAAAACACCCAATTGGTTGTAAATGGGTCTACAGGACCAAACACAATCCTGATTGTTCAGTTGCTCATTACAAAGCTCGCCTTGTTGCTAAAGGATACAAATCAAATGGAAGGAATAGACTATTTTGAGATATTTTCTCCCGTGGTTAAGCTCACTACCATTCGGCTTCTACTTGCTATTGCTGTTGCCAAAGATTGGTTTCTTGAACAAGTAGACATTAACAATGCCTTTCTACACGGAGACCTGTCAGAGGAAGTATACATGTCCATCCCTAAAGGAGTTGTTTTTCCCGAACCGAAGCAGGTATGTAAACTTCAAAAATCTCTATATGGTCTCAAGCAGGCCAGTCGTCAATGGAATGCAAGACTCACATGTGAGCTACGAAACCTTGGATTTCACCAGTTCAATGCAGATCACTCATTGTTTACTAAAGCTACTGGTAATTCATTTACTTGTTTACTAGTCTATGTGGATGACATGGTATTGGCTGGAAATAATATTCAAGAGATTAACTTGGTAAAAATAGCATATGGATAGATTGTTCAGTATTAAAGACTTGGGTCATATATATTTTTTCTTAAGAATGGAAGTGGCCCGTTCCAGAAAAGGCTTGGTGTTGAATCAAAGAAAATATGTCCTTGAAATGGGTTACTTGGTGCTAAGCTTGCCTCATCTCCCATGGGACCTTCATTACGTTTGAAGCAAAAAAAGGGTGAGTTGTTTCATGATCCTGTTGCATATAGAGATTAGTAGGATGTCTATTGTACCTCACAAATACTAGACCAGATATTTCCTTTGTTGTTCAATAGTTGAGCTAATTTGTTGCCAATCCAATGAAGACTCGTCATGATACAGCTTGTAGAGTTCTTCGGTGCTTGAAAGCCTCACCAGCCAAGGGTTTATTGTTTCCTACTCATAATTCTTTGATTTTGTCTGGCTTTGCTGATGCAGATTGGGCCACATGCCCAGATACTCGCAAATCCACCACTGGTTTCTGCATCTTCATTGGAGATTCTCTTATCTCTTGGAAGTCAAAGAAGCAAAGCACATTTTCAAGATCCTCAGCAGAAGTAGAATATCGAGCTCTAGCAACTGTTACTTGTAAACTCCAATGGCTCTCATACCTCCTCAATGATCTTCAGGTGCCTATGACTAAGCCTGCTAATGTCTATTGTGACAACCAGGCTTCCGTACACCTTGCTTACAATCCTTCATTTCATTAACGTAGCAAACACATAGAACTTGATTGTCATGTGACTAGAGAGAAAATTATGGATGGTCTGATACACTTGTTGCCTGTTTCTACTTCTAAACAACTTACTGATGTGTTCACAAAGGCTCTCCAACCAGTTTCCTTCCATGATTTCATCTCCAAGTTGAAGCTCCTTGATATCCACCTTCCAACTTGAGGGGGGTGATACAAAATATATTTATTCTTTGTAATTTTTTATTAGATTATTAACTAACTGTTATTAGTTTCTTAATGTGTTAGTTAGTCTGTTAGACTATTAGTTACAACTACTTAGATATAGTTAGTCTATTAGACTAGTCACGTGGGCTCTATGTCTCACTTTACCTTTCTGCTCCTTCTTGTACATATAAAGGAGCTGTGCATATCAGAGATGCAAGTACGGTTTTAGTTTGTAACTTTTCACTTTCATCAATGAAGTTTCTTTGCTTCTTTACATACACTAAGAATTTGTACAATAAATTGCATTAAAATCCAATGACCATGAAACGTCTGTTTAATAAAGCAATGGGAAATCCTTATGTGATTTCTAGTCAAGCATGTTCTACTAAATTTGGGTAACACTCCTGTTACATATATCAAAATCGCTTTTTAAAGAAAAATTATATTCTTATGTTACATTAGATTAGTTTCTCATATTATATTCACATCGAATAACATGTCATTTCTTTTTTTAAAATTGGTGGATCCCATTTTATTTGTGTCAGTAGAAGATAAAACATCTCTCCTACTGCATGAAAAAAGTAATCCCCCTAAAAGAAAGAAAAAATGAATATTTCATAATTTCACTATCTTTTGTTTCCCCACTAATAAATAACTTATAGCTATCATGATTAGGAAAATATCATTTATATTTATCTAGTTTTAAAAGATTCAATATATTACTTATTAAAATTAAATGGAAAGGATCTTTTTACACTACTTTAAGAATAATAAATCTTATATTAAATTTTAGTCGTTAACAATTGTAATTTATTAAAAATTAAAAATTAAATAATGAAAGTAATTCAATCAATTCCATCAATTTGATACGTGAAAGTCAACCACTAAAATTGAGTGTAAGATAACAATTGTATCAAATTACATCATTTTTTCATTGTCGAGTTGTTAAAAATTTGAAACTAAACTTTAAAAATGTCATATCTTCATGATTTTTGTCTCTCTGTCAAACAAGCATGTGATCCATTCCAATTTCGTCATGCCCATCATGACCCTTTTCTCCTTGTCATTATGAGGTAACTGATCTATCCTTCCCACGAAAATATTTTCAATACTAGATGTATCGAGCATTCTATACATCATTTATTAAATATAATAAAAGGTAACTCATTCATTTTTTCATTAACTTTATGATTATTTTCTCCCATATCCCTTTTCTTTTTCTTTTTGATAGGGGGAAAATGTGCTCTCTCCCAAATTGTTAATCTTCATGGAAAAGAGAGAATAAAGTGAATGATATGAAACTAGTATTCATTTGATATGTTATGATGTA